GTAATCAGAGATGTAGCAACACTGTGTAATCAGAGATGTAGCAACACAGTGTAATCAGAGATGTAGCAACACAGTGTAATCAGAGATGTAGCAACACAGTGTAATCAGAGATGTAGCAACAAAGTGTAATCAGAGATGTAGCAACACAATCAGAGATGTAGCAACACAGTGTAATCAGAGATGTAGCAACACAGTGTAATCAGAGATGTAGCAACACAGTGTAATCAGAGATGTAGCAACACAATCAGAGATGTAGCAACAAAGTGTAATCAGAGATGTAGCAACACAGTGTAATCAGAGATGTAGCAACACAGTGTAATCAGAGATGTAGCAACACAGTGTAATCAGAGATGTAGCAACACAATCAGAGATGTAGCAACAAAGTGTAATCAGAGATGTAGCAACACAGTGTAATCAGAGATGTAGCAACACAGTGTAATCAGAGATGTAGCAACACAGTGTAATCAGAGATGTATCAACACAGTGTAATCAGAGATGTAGCAACACAGTGTAATCAGAGATGTAGCAACACAGTGTAATCAGAGATGTAGCAACACAGTGTAATCAGAGATGTAGCAACACAATCAGAGATGTAGCAACACAGTGTAATCAGAGATGTAGCAACACAGTGTAATCAGAGATGTAGCAACACAGTGTAATCAGAGATGTAGCAACACAGTGTAATCAGAGATGTAGCAACACAGTGTAATCAGAGATGTAGCAACACAGTGTAATCAGAGATGTAGCAACACAGTGTAATCAGAGATGTAGCAACACAGTGTAATCAGAGATGTAGCAACACAGTGTAATCAGAGATGTAGCAACACAGTGTAATCAGAGATGTAGCAACACAGTGTAATCAGAGATGTAGCAACACAGTGTAATCAGAGATGTAGCAACACAGTGTAATCAGAGATGTAGCAACACAGTGTAATCAGAGATGTAGCAACACAGTGTAATCAGAGATGTAGCAACACAGTGTAATCAGAGATGTAGCAACACAGTGTAATCAGAGATGTAGCAACACAGTGTAATCAGAGATGTAGCAACACAATCAGAGATGTAGCAACACAGTGTAATCAGAGATGTAGCAACACAGTGTAATCAGAGATGTAGCAACACAGTGTAATCAGAGATGTAGCAACACAATCAGAGATGTAGCAACACAGTGTAATCAGAGATGTAGCAACACAGTGTAATCAGAGATGTAGCAACACAGTGTAATCAGAGATGTAGCAACACAATCAGAGATGTAGCAACACAATCAGAGATGTAGCAACACAGTGTAATCAGAGATGTAGCAACACAGTGTAATCAGAGATGTAGCAACACAGTGTAATCAGAGATGTAGCAACACAATCAGAGATGTAGCAACACAGTGTAATCAGAGATGTAGCAACACAGTGTAATCAGAGATGTAGCAACACAGTGTAATCAGAGATGTAGCAACACAGTGTAATCAGAGATGTAGCAACACAATCAGAGATGTAGCAACACAGTGTAATCAGAGATGTAGCAACACAGTGTAATCAGAGATGTAGCAACACAGTGTAATCAGTGATGTAGCAACACAGTGTAATCAGAGATGTAGCAACACAATCAGAGATGTAGCAACACAGTGTAATCAGAGATGTAGCAACACAGTGTAATCAGAGATGTAGCAACACAGTGTAATCAGAGATGTAGCAACACAATCAGAGATGTAGCAACACAGTGTAATCAGAGATGTAGCAACACAGTGTAATCAGAGATGTAGCAACACAGTGTAATCAGAGATGTAGCAACACAGTGTAATCAGAGATGTAGCAACACAGTGTAATCAGAGATGTAGCAACACAGTGTAATCAGAGATGTAGCAACACAATCAGAGATGTAGCAACACAGTGTAATCAGAGATGTAGCAACACAGTGTAATCAGAGATGTAGCAACACAGTGTAATCAGAGATGTAGCAACACAATCAGAGATGTAGCAACAAAGTGTAATCAGAGATGTAGCAACACAGTGTAATCAGAGATGTAGCAACACAGTGTAATCAGAGATGTAGCAACACAGTGTAATCAGAGATGTAGCAACAAAGTGTAATCAGAGATGTAGCAACACAGTGTAATCAGAGATGTAGCAACACAGTGTAATCAGAGATGTAGCAACACAGTGTAATCAGAGATGTAGCAACACAGTGTAATCAGAGATGTAGCAACACAGTGTAATCAGAGATGTAGCAACACTGTGTAATCAGAGATGTAGCAACACAGTGTAATCAGAGATGTAGCAACACAATCAGAGATGTATCAACACAGTGTAATCAGAGATGTAGCAACAAAGTGTAATCAGAGATGTAGCAACACAATCAGAGATGTAGCAACACAGTGTAATCAGAGATGTAGCAACACAGTGTAATCAGAGATGTAGCAACACAGTGTAATCAGAGATGTAGCAACACAGTGTAATCAGAGATGTAGCAACACAGTGTAATCAGAGATGTAGCAACACAGTGTAATCAGAGATGTAGCAACACAGTGTAATCAGAGATGTAGCAACACAGTGTAATCAGAGATGTAGCAACACAGTGTAATCAGAGATGTAGCAACACAGTGTAATCAGAGATGTAGCAACACAGTGTAATCAGAGATGTAGCAACACAGTGTAATCAGAGATGTAGCAACACAATCAGAGATGTAGCAACACAGTGTAATCAGAGATGTAGCAACACAGTGTAATCAGAGATGTAGCAACACAGTGTAATCAGAGATGTAGCAACACAATCAGAGATGTAGCAACACAGTGTAATCAGAGATGTAGCAACACAGTGTAATCAGAGATGTAGCAACACAGTGTAATCAGAGATGTAGCAACACAATCAGAGATGTAGCAACACAGTGTAATCAGAGATGTAGCAACAAAGTGTAATCAGAGATGTAGCAACACAGTGTAATCAGAGATGTAGCAACACAGTGTAATCAGAGATGTAGCAACACAATCAGAGATGTAGCAACACAGTGTAATCAGAGATGTAGCAACAAAGTGTAATCAGAGATGTAGCAACACAATCAGAGATGTAGCAACACAGTGTAATCAGAGATGTAGCAACACAGTGTAATCAGAGATGTAGCAACAAAGTGTAATCAGAGATGTAGCAACACAGTGTAATCAGAGATGTAGCAACACAGTGTAATCAGAGATGTAGCAACACAATCAGAGATGTAGCAACACAGTGTAATCAGAGATGTAGCAACACAGTGTAATCAGAGATGTAGCAACACAGTGTAATCAGAGATGTAGCAACACAGTGTAATCAGAGATGTAGCAACACAATCAGAGATGTAGCAACACAATCAGAGATGTAGCAACACAGTGTAATCAGAGATGTAGCAACACAGTGTAATCAGAGATGTAGCAACACAGTGTAATCAGAGATGTAGCAACACAATCAGAGATGTAGCAACACAGTGTAATCAGAGATGTAGCAACACAGTGTAATCAGAGATGTAGCAACACAGTGTAATCAGAGATGTAGCAACACAGTGTAATCAGAGATGTAGCAACACAATCAGAGATGTAGCAACACAGTGTAATCAGAGATGTAGCAACACAGTGTAATCAGAGATGTAGCAACACAGTGTAATCAGAGATGTAGCAACACAGTGTAATCAGAGATGTAGCAACACAATCAGAGATGTAGCAACACAATCAGAGATGTAGCAACACAGTGTAATCAGAGATGTAGCAACACAGTGTAATCAGAGATGTAGCAACACAGTGTAATCAGAGATGTAGCAACACAGTGTAATCAGAGATGTAGCAACACAGTGTAATCAGAGATGTAGCAACACAGTGTAATCAGAGATGTAGCAACACAGTGTAATCAGAGATGTAGCAACACAGTGTAATCAGAGATGTAGCAACACAGTGTAATCAGAGATGTAGCAACACAGTGTAATCAGAGATGTAGCAACACAGTGTAATCAGAGATGTAGCAACACAATCAGAGATGTAGCAACAAAGTGTAATCAGAGATGTAGCAACACAGTGTAATCAGAGATGTAGCAACACAGTGTAATCAGAGATGTAGCAACAAAGTGTAATCAGAGATGTAGCAACACAGTGTAATCAGAGATGTAGCAACACAGTGTAATCAGAGATGTAGCAACACAGTGTAATCAGAGATGTAGCAACACAGTGTAATCAGAGATGTAGCAACACAATCAGAGATGTAGCAACACAATCAGAGATGTAGCAACACAGTGTAATCAGAGATGTAGCAACACAGTGTAATCAGAGATGTAGCAACAAAGTGTAATCAGAGATGTAGCAACACAGTGTAATCAGAGATGTAGCAACACAGTGTAATCAGAGATGTAGCAACACAGTGTAATCAGAGATGTATCAACACAGTGTAATCAGAGATGTGGCAACACAATCAGAGATGTAGCAACACAGTGTAATCAGAGATGTAGCAACACAATCAGAGATGTAGCAACACAATCAGAGATGTAGCAACAAAGTGTAATCAGAGATGTAGCAACACAATCAGAGATGTAGCAACACAATCAGAGATGTAGCAACACAGTGTAATCAGAGATGTATCAACCAGCTGATGTATTTTCTAATTAGCATATTTTTTAAACTTGTGGTGCTTTACACACACACAATTCTAAATCAAGAAAGTTCCAATGACTGCATAATTGAAGATAAACATAAACTAACTATATTTTAATACAACCAACATATTGCATCAAACAATTCAGATACACATTGTCTTGATTTGTCTCTGCTCATTTAACTTTTAAAGTTTTATATTTCATCCAAAATCATTTATTTTGATTGTGATTGAAAAGAATTTACACTCTATATTGCAAAATTGCAGTTAAATACTGTTAAAAGAGTGTAAAAACTGATTACATAAATAATTTACTGGTCAATTCAAAGATTGACTAAGGATTAGTGCCTGCTAAATAAAGACTTGACCAAAGATACGAAACAACTATTTGAACAACTGACCTGTTGCTAGACACTAAGAAAACCCTGAGTGCCATGCACGAGCTGATGGTGCGTGGAATGATGCGCAGGTCGCAGTGACCCAGGTCCAGCTTCTGTAGACAGATGAGCCTGCCAACGCCAGCTGGGAATGTGGACAGCTGCTTGTTGCCATGGAAACACAGCGTCTACAAACAAACATTGTTAACATCCACATAACAGAAGACAAAAACATAAATTTTTTATCTAAATAACTCAATTTTTTCTTCTGTAAATACATCAGAAAAAACAACAATTATGAACAGCATACAGTAAACCATATTGCATGAATATACAACAGACAGAAATTCTGTAAGACTCCTAAAAGATGTTGATAAAATATTTATTTTGTGTTAAGAAGATGATTGTGTTGGGGTGATGACAGTTTTAGGAAGAAGATTTTATTGGAGTGATGATTGTGTTGGGGAGATGATTGTGTAGGGAAGATAATTGTGTCAATGTGTTGGGGAGATGATTGTGTTGGGGAGATGATTTGTTGGGGAGATATTTGTGTTGGGGAGATATTTGTGTTGGGGAGATGGTTGTGTTGGGGAGATGGTTGTGTTGGGGAGATGATTGTGTTAGGAAGATGATTGTGTTGGGGAGATGATTGTGTTAGGAAGATGATTGTGTTGGGGAGATGGTTGTGTTGGGGAGATGGTTGTGTTGGGGAGATGATTGTGTTGGGGAGATGATTGTGTTGGGGAGATGGTTGTGTTGGGGAGATGATTGTGTTGGGGAGATGATTGTGTTGGGGAGATGATTGTGTTAGGAAGATGATTGTGTTGGGGAGATGATTGTGTTAGGAAGATGATTGTGTTGGGGAGATGATTGTGTTAGGAAGATGATTGTGTTGGGGAGATGATTGTGTTAGGAAGATGATTGTGTTGGGGAGATGATTGTGTTAGGAAGATGATTGTGTTAGGAAGATGATTGTGTTAGGAAGATGATTGTGTAAGTGATAAAACCAACCTGGAGGCCAGGAATGTTGAACAAGGAATCACAGATCTCAGACAGGTGGTTGTATCTGTAGAGTAGAGGTGACAGATTGGTGACCCAAGGTGCAAGTGGTGTCATCTCAGATGCCAGGGGTGTCAACAGTCAGTGATGTCACCTTTACTACACACCCACCCAATTACACACACACACCTTCACACACCCAACTACACACACACACACCTACACACACCCAACTATTCACTCACATACACACACCCCATTACACACACAACAACACACCTAACACACCCACCTACACACCTAACAACACAGTTAGCTGACCCAACTTACCCAACACTCAAACAATGTAGAGAACACAGCCGGTCAATGTCCTGAGGTAGATTATGTAGGTCATTATGGTCTAAATATAGCCTCAAAAGTTGTGGGAGGTCTAGTAAAGCCTCTGTGAAAATATAAGAAAACATCACAAAACATTTAGATACAATCAAACAAATCACAACATCACAAGGTACTCATCATGTTTCTAATGTTTCATACTTCAGGTCCAACCATAAGGTGTGATCAACTAAAATGATTGACCAATTTGTGTTTCTTGTAGAAATGTTTTCATCAATACACAGGTTGGTGTGGCTGGTGGTGTGGCAGTGGTGTGGCTGGTATTGTGGCTGTGGCTGGTGGTGTGTATGTGGCTGGTATTGTGGCTGTGGCTGGTGGTGTGGATGTGGCTGGTGGTGTGGCTGGTGGTGTTGCTAGTGGTGTGGATGTGGCTGGTGGTGTGGCTGGTGGTGTTGCTGGTGGTGTGGCTGGTGGTGTGGCTGGTGGTGTGGCTGGCGGTGTGGCTGGGTGGTGTTGCTGGTGGTGTGGCTGGTGGTGTGGCTGGGTGGTGTTGCTGGTGGTGTGGCTGGTGGTGTGGCTGGTGGTGTGGCTGGTGGTGTGGCTGTGGCTGGTGGTGTGGATGTGGCTGGTATTGTGGCTGTGGCTGGTGGTGTGGCTGGTGGTGTTGCTAGTGGTGTGGATGTGGCTGGTGGTGTGGCTGGTGGTGTTGCTGGTGGTGTGGCTGGTGGTGTAGCTGGTGGTGTGGCTGGTGTTGTGGCTGGTGTTGTGGCTAGTGGTGTGGCTAAGTGGTGTGGCTGGTGGTGTGGTTGTGGCTGGTGGTGTTGCTGGTGGTATGGTTGTGGCTGGTGGTGTTGCTGGTGGTGTGGTTGTGGCTGGTGGTGTTGCTGGTGGTGTTGCTGGTGGTGTGGTTGTGGCTGGTGGTGTGGCTGGTGTTGTGGCTGTGGCTGGTGGTGTGTATGTGGCTGGTGGTGTGGATGTGGCTGGTGGTGTGGCTGTGGCTGGTGGTGTGGATGTGGCTGGTATTGTGGCTGTGGCTGGTGGTGTGGATGTGGCTGGTGGTGTGGCTGGTGGTGTTGCTAGTGGTGTGGATGTGGCTGGTGGTGTGGCTGGTGGTGTTGCTGGTGGTGTGGCTGGTGGTGTGGCTGGTGGTGTGGCTGGCGGTGTGGCTGGGTGGTGTTGCTGGTGGTGTGGCTGGTGGTGTGGCTGGGTGGTGTTGCTGGTGGTGTGGCTGGTGGTGTGGCTGGTGGTGTGGCTGTGGCTGGTGGTGTGGCTGGTGGTGTGGCTGGGTGGTGTTGCTGGTGGTGTGGCTGGTGGTGTGGATGTGGCTGGTGGTGTGGCTGGTGGTGTTGCTGGTGGTGTGGCTGGTGGTGTAGCTGGTGGTGTGGCTGGTGTTGTGGCTGGTGTTGTGGCTAGTGGTGTGGCTAAGTGGTGTGGCTGGTGGTGTGGTTGTGGCTGGTGGTGTTGCTGGTGGTGTGGTTGTGGCTGGTGGTGTTGCTGGTGGTGTGGTTGTGGCTGGTGGTGTTGCTGGTGGTGTTGCTGGTGGTGTGGTTGTGGCTGGTGGTGTGGCTGGTGTTGTGGCTGGTGTTGTGGCTAGTGGTGTGGCTGGGTGGTGTGGCTGGTGGTGTGGTTGTGGCTGGTGGTGTTGCTGGTGGTGTGGTTGTGGCTGGTGGTGTTGCTGGTGGTGTTGCTGGTGGTGTGGTTGTGGCTGGTGGTGTGGCTGGTGGTGTGGCTGGTGGTGTGGCTGTGTCTTGTGTTGTGGCTTGTGGTGTTGCTGGTGGTGTGGCTGGTGGTGTGGCTGGTGGTGTGGCTGGTGGTGTTGCTGGTGGTATGGCTGGTGGTGTGGCTGGTGGTGTGGCTGGTGGTGTGGCTGATGTTGTGGATTTGGATGGTGTTGTGGCTAGTGGTGTGGATGTGGCTGGTGGTGTGGCTGGTGGTGTGGCTGGTGTGTGGCTGGTGGTGTTGCTGGTGGTGTGGCTGGTGGTGTGGCTGGTGGTGTGGCTGATGTTGTGGATTTGGATGGTGTTGTGGCTAGTGGTGTGGATGTGGCTGGTGGTGTGGCTGGTGGTGTGGTTGGTGATGTGGCTCATGTTGTAGGATCAAGTTGTAAGCTAGTAGTTGCAAGTGTTGCACAGAATAAAAATTGAACCTACCTGGAAAGGTGTGCAGTCTGTTTCGTCTGAGATCCAGAAAAGACAACTGGTGTAAACAGGCAAAAAATGGCTGGAGGGAAAAATGGAAACATTCGTTAGTACTTTTGTTTATAATGTAGAATAAATTTTGAAGTGTTGACATTATGATAAATGGATACAAGGTGTCATGATACAGGGATACTTGAGATATGATATTTTCAAAGATAGAAGGGATTCACACAAGAGGGATGGAAGTGATGATACCTACAGGGATAGAAGTGATGTGATGATACCTACAGGGATAGAAGTGATGATACCTACAGGGATAGAAGTGATGTAATGATACCTACAGGGATAGAAGTGATGTGATGATACCTACAGTGATAGAAGTGATGTGATGATACCTACAGGGATAGAAGTGATGTGATGATACCTACAGGGATAGAAGTGATGATACCTACAGGGATAGAAGTGATGTAGTTGTCCTGCAGGCTGATGTTGATGATACCTACAGGGATAGAAGTGCTGATACCTACAGGGATAGAAGTGATGATACCTACAGGGATAGAAGTGATGTGATGATACCTACAGGGATAGAAGTGATGTGATGAGACCTACAGGGATAGAAGTGATGTGATGAGACCTACAGGGATAGAAGTGATGTGGTGATACCTACAGGGATAGAAGTGATGATACCTACAGGGATAGATGTGATGTGATGAGACCTACAGGGATAGAAGTGATGTAGTTGTCCTGCAGGCTGATGTTGATGATACCTACAGGGATAGAAGTGATGTAGTTGTCCTGCAGGCTGATGTTGATGATACCTACAGGGATAGAAGTGATGAGACCTACAGGGATAGAAGTGATGTGGTTGTCCTGCAGGCTGATGTTGATGATACCTACAGGGATAGAAGTGATGTGATGATACCTACAGGGATAGAAGTGATGTGATGATACCTACAGGGATAGAAGTGATGTGATGATACCTACAGGGATAGAAGTGATGTAATGATACCTACAGGGATAGAAGTGATGTGATGATACCTACAGGGATAGAAGTGATGATACCTACAGGGATAGAAGTGATGATACCTACAGGGATAGAAGTGATGTGATGATACCTACAGGGATAGAAGTGATGATACCTACAGGGATAGAAGTGATGTAGTTGTCCTGCAGGCTGATGTTGATGAGGTCCCGCATGATGGCCAGGTCCTCTGGCAGCTGGGACAAGGCATTATGGGAGGCGTCAAGCGTGCAGGCATTCATGCAATGGAAGCCAAGGCGGGGAGGTAACTCTTCCAGGGCTAAACGGCTGGTAGGGAGGGAAGACAAATGTTCTTGGTAAATTTACATGTGATATCATTTAACAGGTGATTCAATAGATAGCTCAATGTACCAACTTACAATTATAGCTGTCTAATCACTTGTGCCAACTTACAATTATAGCTGTCTAATCACTTGTGCCAACTTACAATTCTAGCTGTCTACGCACCAATGTACCAACTTAAAATTATAGCTGTCTACGCACCAATGTACCAACTTACAATTATAGCTGTCTAATCACTTGTGCCAACTTACAATTCTAGCTGTCTAATCACTTGTGCCAACTTACAATTCTAGCTGTCTACGCACCAATGTACCAACTTACAATTATAGCTGTCTACGCACCAATGTACCAACATTCAATTATAGCTGTCTACTCACCAATGTACCAACTTACAATTATAGCTGTCTACTCACCTTAAGTTGATGATGCGATCACTGACCCCCGCACACTTCGTCCAGGGCAGGTAGGCAGGCGGACGTCTTTGGTGACCTTTGCCCTGGCATGCCCCATTAATATCACAGCATTGGTCACACAGACCCTGGACACAGTGCCTCTCCCACAGACCACCATTGCATCTGGTCAGGAAACAACATCAAATTCATCAGATTATTGCATCTGGTCAGGAAACATCAAATTCATCAAAGATTATTGCATCTGGTCAGGAAACATCAAATTCATCAAAGATTATTGCATCTGGTCAGGAAACATCAAATTCATCAAAGATTATTGCATCTGGTCAGGAAACAACATCAAATTCATCAAAGATTATTGCATCTGGTCAGGAAACATCAAATTCATCAAAGATTATTGCATCTGGTCAGGAAACATCAAATTCATCAAAGATTATTGCATCTGGTCAGGAAACATCAAATTCATCAAAGATTATTGCATCTGGTCAGGAAACATCAAATACATCAAAGATTATTGCATCTGGTCAGGAAACAACATCAAATTCATCAAAGATTATGCCTTTATTTTACTAAAAAAAAAGTCAAGAAGATGATTACAAATGAATATATGCTTTGTTTTAAATTTTAAAAAATTTATGCAAACAATTTTTTTTTTATTTCTCAGTTTAAACAGTTTCAATCAGATGATAAGTTTTGTAATTAAAATAATCCATCCATTAAAATAAAATTCCATTGTGGTAATAATCAAAAAGTGCTCTAAGGTGGTTAGGACCAGTCTATTTGAAACCATTCAGTGCTAGCACCATTCCTGTTCCTAGCACAAAAATAACAGCCTATAGTAGCAATAACAAGCAGATCAAGACAAATATGAGACTTACTTCAAGCACTTCAGGCCTTTGTTCCTGGTAGAGTTCTGAAAATATTGCCAAATATAAACACATAGTTATTTTAAAATAGGGATGGTGTGGTCAAATGGTAGAGCTTTCAACTGCTAACACAAAAATCAAGTTCAGATCGTGGGCTAGTCTGTAGGACATCCCTGAGTTCACCCAGTTCTAATGGGTATCTAACTCATATTTGTTAATGTAAAGTTGGATGAGCATAGTGCTGACCACACTATCCCTTCATGCACTAAGGTTGCTGGAACACGTGAGCTCTACTCCACCAGCTCTGTGGTTCATAAGGTTCAAGAGGGTACATTTTTTACAACTTTTAAACATGAGCACAATCTACAATTAAAACAGGGACACTGTTCAACTATCAACGTGATAATAGTTGTTAACAATCTAAAGACGGCCTAAGGATTTTACAGGTACACAATTAATCATTCCGTATGAATTAATACATGTATTAATAATCAGATGACAGATGAGAACAGGTTAATGATGGCAGATGACAAAAGGTTAATGATGACAGATGACAACAGGTCAATGATGACAGATGACAACATGGTGGATGATGACAGATGACAACATGGTGGCTGAAGATGAGAGCCACAAGTGAATCAGGAAACCCTACCACCATGTTCTGTTTCTGTGCTTTAGTCTGGCAGCTGAGGAGCCCCAGCTTGTCAAAGTGCTGGACGAGAGACACATCGTTAAGACAGCAGGCCTTGACCTCGTCAGCCTCGTCACTGTCTGGTGTCCGCTGGGGCAAAACCTCCACGTGCTGCACATGGCGGATGTTGTTGATGAATGTGTAGATGTGTCGCAGCGCTCCAACAACTGCAATGTTAAAGCAGGTTTTACTTTCAGTTTTACAAGTACCTCATGTTGTTTACATTAGAATATTTGTAATATATATGAAGGGATGGTGTATTGGACTTATGGGCTATGTTGGCTTTATTTATCATGGGCTGTATCAGCATTTTGTACACAAAATGTAGCAGAGTCTGGAATAATATGTTTCCATATGATGCATTTCTGAGTAGAACTTCAACACCAGAATAAAGAGAGGCAACTCATGTCTGCAACAAGAGGACACAAGAAATGTCAGTAGTAAAGGGGACACTAAAGCAACAATGTGAGAAAACAGCAACAAAGGAACACAATAGCAACAAGGGGACACTACAACAACAAGGGGACACTACAACAACAAGGGGACACTACAACAACAAGAGGACACTACAACAACAAGGGGACACTACAGCAACAAGGGGACACTACAACAACAAGGGGACACTACAACAACAAGGGGACACTACAGCAACAAGGGGACACTACACCAACAAGGGGACACTACAACAACAAGGTGCCACAAGAAAAAGACAGCCAGTTACCAGAGAGCACTGAAGAGCTGGTGATGACAGTGAAGACAACGATGTTGTGGATGTTGCCCTCCAACAGCATCTCCTTTACCAGCTGAGTCACCTCATCCACCATCCACATCATTGCTGGATGGCTGGCTTCTCCAATTTGCCAGATGTTACACGCTTGATCTGGCAACAATAAACATATAATATAAATACAATATAAACATTAGCACATCTAAATCATATGTCACACAGCGGTCACTAAAAATTTGGAAAAAAAAAGAAAGTTTTATTCAGAAATGACATTTTAAAGATTTGTCATGACATGAACACTCTATAAAGAAAAGCTTGGGCACCATAGTGATGTGGTTGGGGGAGAGGGGGAGAGGGGGAGAGATAGATATAGTAGGCAAACTATAGACTACCACTACTGTTAGACTACTATCTAAAATAAATCTTTAATAATTTATTTACTAAACTACTGGCACAAACTAGTGTTAAGTGTAGTGTGTGTATATAAAAGTAGTACTGCAGTAGTAGTACTGTAGTGTTAATAGACTTGTAGTTACTCTAGTAAGGTAGGCCTATAAACTTGCCTACACTGAATGAACATCAGTCAGGTATTAAACTAGATTCTAGCACCATTCATAACAAACTACTAGCCTTTTCTACACAGATTTAGTAGACTTCCTACACTACACACTTACAACTAATACTAATCTATATTTATTTTATACAGCTGTCTTGGGTTGAGGGTTCATACTCATAGCATTGTAAAAAGGTCTAGCCTATTAGAATAAACGAGCCGACCTGCGCGTATAATACGCCGCTATTTAGTTGTTTTATCTTCTACTTTTCAGTAATTCATAATTTGTGAATTCGACAGTACCAATGCTGCCACTGAAAATATTTGCTTTAAAACACTAACCCCCCCCTTTCCCCTAACCCCGACCCTACACCCCCCTCCCCCCCCCCCCCCCGTGAAAGCAGCCTCCTCTTAGTTTTACCTCCTGTAAGTTTAAAATCGTTTCAAACTTATCTGCCCCTAATAGCCGTCACTAAACCCGACTCTACGATTTGTAAACATTTAATTTAGCGTGACCACAACTCACCAGACCATGTGGGGGTGGGGTGGGGGTGGTAGTGATAGCGAGAAAGAGAGGGGACTGTAAGGAGGCGCTTGCAGCTTGTTTTCTAACGTCTCCCAGAAGAGAATTATATATATAGATTATTTTTTTAAAATCTATTTTAATTCCTATTCAACTCTACTATTTAAGTATTTATCGTATTATCCCTGTCTCATCAAGGCAACATATAGGCCTAAACAACGGACATTTAGATGACAAGAAAAACCCGGTCATAGTAGCGATACACACATGCGCATCTTCTTTCAGCTAGAATAGGATTGCGATCTAGAATCTAGTCTAGATCTAGTAGTAGCTCTTTTGCTTGACTCTAGATCAGAGTAGAAGTAGATCTCTAGTACTAGATCTAGTACTGGTAGTAGTAGTACTACTACTAGATCTAGTACGTCGTAGTACGTAGACGTACTAGATCTAGAGTAGTAGTACTAGATCTAGACTTCTTAGGCCTAGCCTAGGGCCCTAGGTGACTAGGTAGTAGGTAGGGCCTAGTGCCCTAGGCTAACATTTATTTAAATTAGGCCCCCTAATAATAATATTATGATTACAAAGAGATGTAGAATCTAGATCTAGATCTAGATCTAGATCTAGATCTATTACAATTACCTAACTATTTATAGTAGAGCAATTTTATTATTACGACATGTTTCCACCCTTCTCCGCACATCTAGATTTAGACCTAGATTTCTAGATCTTCTAGATCTTCTAGATTTAGGCAAGTATCAAAACAATAACAATCGAACAAATGTAGGCCTAGGCCTATGTCCGAGATGTCGTAAATATCAATAAGCAGTCAGAAACAGAATTATTGTCGTAAACATTGAAGTTTTTTGCCCAACAACGTCAGCCTAACCTTTCCATTCAATGTTTCTTTTAGCCAGGCATCTCTCCGGGGGAAGGGTGGGCTGAAAAACATTTAATAGAATATATATTTTAACCAGTGGCAAGCCCCCCTTCCCCCCCCCCCCCCCCGAAAATTTAAGTGTTTTCCCTCTCCGAGAGTTTACTTTTAAGTGCCTCCTCCAAGGATACAAATTTCTGAAAGAAACACTGCTTCTATCTTAAAATAAATATCAGAAACACAAATATAAATCTATGTCAGATATCCAACATTTCTGAATGTAGGGTGTAGTTTTGCTCATGTAGAATTCCTGAATAATTGTCTTGCAATTTTTGTGTTCGTTTTTTTTTTTTCGCCAGCTTCTAATCCTTCCACACCCCCCCCCCCCCTCCCGCCAGTCCATGACCCTGATGTGTAGCTTATCGCTCAACACACAACACAGACATAGTTGTCTGCTACAGGAACACGACGTGTGGTGAGTTGCTCCAGTTACTTAGTTAGGCCTAGTGGGTAGATTAAAGTTAGATACAACATTTTCCGCCTGCTTTCACTGCCATTATTTTGCACAATATTTCTTAACACATTTGAACATTTAATTTTTGCAGCGCACTATTTTGTCACTTTTACTAACATGAATCTATGTGTCAACACACCGCGATTAACTGGTCGAATGGCTACTATTTTTACACTTCGTTGCTATAATACGAGGCAACAATCGCATGTAACAGCTGGTTCCCCGTCTCTAAAACATTAGTGAAAGGTTTATGGTTTTAATTACCGATCAATTAACGCAAACAAAACGCATGACCTAGATTATCAGAAGAACAAGGCCCCGATACTTTTGACACACGACAAGAAGAGACACATCCATACTGGGCCTGGGCTGTTTCGGTTCAAAGTTCAGATCCCCGAGTATATTTGTGAGCAGGTTCGGGAATATTCGTCTCACCCGTGCCCAACAACACAAAATCCGGAACATACCGAATGTTAATTATCGTTATATTTGTAAATACTTTTTGGAACTTCCAGAGTTTCTTTATAGGCATCTGTTCCGAAGTAAGTCTACCGCCCCCCCCCCCCCCCGTAGAATAGAGTCTGGAAGAAACACTGGGAACCTTTATAATTAAGTATAATCGACAGCACAACATATCTAAAGTATTTGATGTTGATATCGCTACCCCAGTCATTGGCCTTGACCTTCAGATTAATCCTGTCGGCAAGCTATCCGCTTTTTTCCGCGGGCTTTTATGTGGCACCCCAAATTCATCTCCCAGCGTGTTATCTCACAACTTTATTATCCCTCTCCCCCCCCCCCCCCCCTTACTGTATTACGGAGGTCAGGTTTGCTGTTGTGTTTAAGATAGTGGATGTTGCTTGTGTGATCGATGGCCCACATAATATGTTGGTAAGATATGTCAAGAGATCGTCGAATCACATATGACACAGCATCAATTGGTTTTTCTTGTCTTGTCTAAAAAAAAGTCAATTGTTCTTAAAACATCAGTTTTGTGATTGTGTGTATTTTAAATTTTCGCGTGTTTTATAACATACCGATGTTTTATGAGATTTTCTCATGTTTTTGTGCGTTTCAATGTTGACATTTTTATATCTGGGTTACCGAAATCAACTTTTCTCAAAGAGGTGTTCGGCCACAACTTTCCTGATCTTATGACGTTTAACATTTGGCCAGACCGTCCGCTTCAGACCCTAACACTGACCTAATGCTACAAAACTATTTACAACCTACCATAACTATTTTAAAAACTCTGTTGTCAGGTTTGCTTCAGTGCTCCACCCATATCTAATGTGGAAGATCCTTTTTTTTCTAAACTGATTATCTTCTTCTGTGTCCTTCCATTCAACGTGTGTAGGCCTACAATGTAGAGCCCTTGTGGTGAACTTTGACCTGACCTCTAGTGTAACTGTGACCTGATGTCGGTTAGCTGAGGTGTGACCTGCAGTCTGAAAACGATGTAGCCGCCCCACAGCTCTACTCTACTGTAACATACGTCGTCTATAAAATAACGTCACGGTTCGCCGACCCGACCTCTCACTCCCCCCCCCCAAACACACACACACACACACACAAACACACATCTTTTGCTGACACGCTGTTGACCTGAATTTACGTTGAGATGTTTACTTTGGCTTTCTATTTTTACCTTAATAACCCATTTTGACCCCGTACCCAATTTCTTTTTTTTAAAGTTGAATTATCACTCTGGTGATGATATATCTACAGAGATGGATAGTGTTAACTCAGATCAGTCCCGCGAGACATTGGCTGATAGAACAATCTAATGACGCTAACACAATGAGACACCACATTAGTTTTTTAAAAACAATCTGGCAACATACAGACACTAAGACACCAACGTTTATTGATAGAACAATCTAATGACGCTAACACAATGAGACACCACATTAGTTTTTTAAAAACAATCTGGCAACATACAGACACTAAGACACCAACGTTTATTGATAGAACAATCTAATGACGCTAACACAATGAGACACCACATTAGTTTTTTAAAAACAATCTGGCAACATACAGACACTAAGACACCAACGTTTATTGATAGAACAATCTAATGACGCTAACACAATGAGACACCACATTAGTTTTTTAAAAACAATCTGGCAACATACAGACACTAAGACACCAACGTTTATTGATAGAACAATCTAATGACGCTAACACAATGAGACACCACATTAGTTTTTTAAAAACAATCTGGCAACATACAGACACTAAGACACCAACGTTTATTGATAGAACAATCTAATGACGCTAATACAATGAGACACCACATTAGTTTTTTAAAAACAATCTGGCAACATACAGACACTAAGACACCAACGTTTATTGATAGAACAATCTAATGACGCCAATACAATGAGACACCACATTAGTTTTTTAAAAACAATCTGGCAACATACAGACACTAAGACACCAACGTTTATTGATAGAACAATCTAATGACGCTAATACAATGAGACACCACATTAGTTTTTTAAAAACAATCTGGCAACATACAGACACTAAGACACCAACGTTTATTGATAGAACAATCTAATGACGCCAATACAATGAGACACCACATTAGTTTTTTAAAAACAATCTGGCAACATACAGACACTAAGACACCAACGTTTATTGATAGAACAATCTAATGACGCTAATACAATGAGACACCACATTAGTTTTTTAAAAACAATCTGGCAACATACAGACACTAAGACACCAACGTTTATTGATAGAACAATCTAATGACGCTAATACAATGAGACACCACATTAGTTTTTTAAAAACAATCTGGCAACATACAGACACTAAGACACCAACGTTTATTGACAGAACAATCTAATGACGCCAATACAATGAGACACCACATTAGTTTTTTAAAAACAATCTGGCAACATACAGACACTAAGACACCAACGTTTATTGATAGAACAATCTAATGACGCTAATACAATGAGACACCACATTAGTTTTTTAAAAACAATCTGGCAACATACAGACACTAAGACACCAACGTTTATTGACAGAACAATCTAATGACGCCAATACAATGAGATACCACATTAGTTTTTTAAAAACAATCTGGCAACATACAGACACTAAGACACCAACGTTTATTGATAGAACAATCTAATGACGCTAATACAATGAGACACCACATTAGTTTTTTAAAAACAATCTGGCAACATACAGACACTAAGACACCAACGTTTATTGATAGAACAATCTAATGACGCTAATACAATGAGACACCACATTAGTTTTTTAAAAACAATCTGGCAACATACAGACACTAAGACACCAACGTTTATTGATAGAACAATCTAATGACGCTAACACAATGAGACACCACATTAGTTTTTTAAAAACAATCTGGCAACATACAGACACTAAGACACCAACGTTTATTGATAGAACAATCTAATGACGCTAATACAATGAGACACCACATTAGTTTTTTAAAAACAATCTGGCAACATACAGACACTAAGACACCAACGTTTATTGACAGAACAAACTAATGACGCCAATACAATGAGACACCACATTAGTTTTTTAAAAACAATCTGGCAACATACAGACACTAAGACACCAACGTTTATTGATAGAACAATCTAATGACGCTAATACAATGAGACACCACATTAGTTTTTTAAAAACAATCTGGCAACATACAGACACTAAGACACCAACGTTTATTGATAGAACAATCTAATGACGCTAATACAATGAGACACCACATTAGTTTTTTAAAAACAATCTGGCAACATACAGACACTAAGACACCAACGTTTATTGATAGAACAATCTAATGACGCTAACACAATGAGACACCACATTAGTTTTTTAAAAACAATCTGGCAACATACAGACACTAAGACACCAACGTTTATTGATAGAACAATCTAATGACGCTAATACAATGAGACACCACATTAGTTTTTTAAAAACAATCTGGCAACATACAGACACTAAGACACCAACGTTTATTGATAGAACAATCTAATGACGCTAATACAATGAGACACCACATTAGTTTTTTAAAAACAATCTGGCAACATACAGACACTAAGACACCAACGTTTATTGATAGAACAATCTAATGACGCTAACACAATGAGACACCACATTAGTTTTTTAAAAACAATCTGGCAACATACAGACACTAAGACACCAACGTTTATTGATAGAACAATCTAATGACGCTAATACAATGAGACACCACATTAGTTTTTTAAAAACAATCTGGCAACATACAGACACTAAGACACCAAGGTTTATTGATAGAACAATCTAATGACGCTAATACAATGAGACACCACATTAGTTTTTTAAAAACAATCTGGCAACATACAGACACTAAGACACCAACGTTTATTGATAGAACAATCTAATGACGCTAATACAATGAGACACCACATTAGTTTTTTAAAAACAATCTGGCAACATACAGACACTAAGACACCAACGTTTATTGATAGAACAATCTAATGACGCCAATACAATGAGACACCACATTAGTTTTTTAAAAACAATCTGGCAACATACAGACACTAAGACACCAACGTTTATTGATAGAACAATCTAATGACGCCAATACAATGAGACACCACATTAGTTTTTTAAAAACAATCTGGCAACATACAGACACTAAGACACCAACGTTTATTGATAGAACAATCTAATGACGCCAATACAATGAGACACCACATTAGTTTTTTAAAAACAATCTGGCAACATACAGACACTAAGACACCAACGTTTATTGATAGAACAATCTAATGACGCCAATACAATGAGACACCACATTAGTTTTTAAAAACAATCTGGCAACATACAGACACTAAGACACCAACGTTTATTGATAGAACAATCTAATGACGCTAATACAATGAGACACCACATTAGTTTTTTAAAAACAATCTGGCAACATACAGACACTAAGACACCAACGTTTATTGATAGAACAATCTAATGACGCCAATACAATGAGACACCACATTAGTTTTTTTTAAAAACAATCTGGCAACATACAGACACTAAGACACCAACGTTTATTGATAGAACAATCTAATGACGCTAATACAATGAGACACCACATTAGTTTTTTAAAAAACAATCTGGCAACATACAGACACTAAGACACCAACGTTTATTGATAGAACAATCTAATGACGCTAATACAATGAGACACCACATTAGTTTTTTAAAAACAATCTGGCAACATACAGACACTAAGACACCAACGTTTATTGACAGAACAATCTAATGACGCCAATACAATGAGACACCACATTAGTTTTTTAAAAACAATCTGGCAACATACAGACACTAAGACACCAACGTTTATTGATAGAACAATCTAATGACGCTAATACAATGAGACACCACATTAGTTTTTTAAAAACAATCTGGCAACATACAGACACTAAGACACCAACGTTTATTGACAGAACAATCTAATGACGCCAATACAATGAGACACCACATTAGTTTTTTAAAAACAATCTGGCAACATACAGACACTAAGACACCAACGTTTATTGATAGAACAATCTAATGACGCTAATACAATGAGACACCACATTAGTTTTTTAAAAACAATCTGGCAACATACAGACACTAAGACACCAACGTTTATTGATAGAACAATCTAATGACGCTAATACAATGAGACACCACATTAGTTTTTTTAAAAACAATCTGGCAACATACAGACACTAAGACACCAAGGTTTATTGATAGAACAATCTAATGACGCTAACACAATGAGACACCACATTAGTTTTTTAAAAACAATCTGGCAACATACAGACACTAAGACACCAACGTTTATTGATAGAACAATCTAATGACGCTAATACAATGAGACACCACATTAGTTTTTTAAAAACAATCTGGCAACATACAGACACTAAGACACCAACGTTTTTTGATAGAACAATCTAATGACGCTAATACAATGAGACACCACATTAGTTTTTTAAAAACAATCTGGCAACATACAGACACTAAGACACCAACGTTTATTGATAGAACAATCTAATGACGCTAACACAATGAGACACCACATTAGTTTTTTAAAAACAATCTGGCAACATACAGACACTAAGACACCAACGTTTATTGATAGAACAATCTAATGACGCTAATACAATGAGACACCACATTAGTTTTTTAAAAACAATCTGGCAACATACAGACACTAAGACACCAACGTTTATTGATAGAACAATCTAATGACGCTAATACAATGAGACACCACATTAGTTTTTTAAAAACAATCTGGCAACATACAGACACTAAGACACCAACGTTTATTGATAGAACAATCTAATGACGCTAACACAATGAGACACCACATTAGTTTTTTAAAAACAATCTGGCAACATACAGACACTAAGACACCAACGTTTATTGATAGAACAATCTAATGACGCTAATACAATGAGACACCACATTAGTTTTTTAAAAACAATCTGGCAACATACAGACACTAAGACACCAACGTTTATTGATAGAACAATCTAATGACGCTAATACAATGAGACACCACATTAGTTTTTTAAAAACAATCTGGCAACATACAGACACTAAGACACCAACGTTTATTGATAGAACAATCTAATGACGCTAATACAATGAGACACCACATTAGTTTTTTAAAAACAATCTGGCAACATACAGACACTAAGACACCAACGTTTATTGATAGAACAATCTAATGACGCTAACACAATGAGACACCACATTAGTTTTTTAAAAACAATCTGGCAACATACAGACACTAAGACACCAACGTTTATTGATAGAACAATCTAATGACGCTAACACAATGAGACACCACATTAGTTTTTTAAAAACAATCTGGCAACATACAGACACTAAGACACCAACGTTTATTGATAGAACAATCTAATGACGCTAACACAATGAGACACCACATTAGTTTTTTAAAAACAATCTGGCAACATACAGACACTAAGACACCGTTTATTGATAGAACAATCTAATGACGCTAACACAATGAGACACCACATTAGTTTTTTAAAAACAATCTGGCAACATACAGACACTAAGACACCAACGTTTATTGATAGAACAATCTAATGACGCCAATACAATGAGACACCACATTAGTTTTTTAAAAACAATCTGGCAACATACAGACACTAAGACACCAACGTTTATTGATAGAACAATCTAATGACGCTAACACAATGAGACACCACATTAGTTTTTTAAAAACAATCTGGCAACATACAGACACTAAGACACCAACGTTTATTGATAGAACAATCTAATGACGCCAATACAATGAGACACCACATTAGTTTTTTAAAAACAATCTGGCAACATACAGACACTAAGACACCAACGTTTATTGATAGAACAATCTAGCGATGTCCAGACATCGAGACACTAACATGTGTTGCTAATATTGTGCCTATCATAAAACCAACATCCCCATCTCATTCGTCAACCACCCCGACCACAGTACCTTATGGGTTACCCCACCCTTATCCTGTCTTTAACTGATTTTCCCCTTTGAGGTGTAGGGTTATTTTAAATGTACTCCTGTGTGCATGCGAGAATTATAGAGCTGGTAGTATAGGGCATAAATTAACTCAAAGGTTTGTAAGTTTGTGTAATGTGAGAAATTGTCATACGCTGTAAGTTCGACACATTTACCGAATTTTTAGCGTAGAATTACCATTTGAACAATTAATGTGACCAATAATGTGTAACGCTCAAACATTATGATTGTATGTATGAATACATTTTGTCTGACAATGTGGTTTGTATACCTTTGACGCCTGGCGAAACTTTTAAAATCCCCCCCCCCCCCACCCAAATGTCCATTGCATGCCTATTACTGTTCTGCTATTTAAGGCTCTAGACCAGGGGTCTCCAAACTTTTCAGTCCGAGGGCCGGATTAACTATCAAATTTTAGTTCGGGGGCCAGTTTCTTCCAGGCATGTCTTTGATTTTTCTGGGCAAAGTCCCTCAGCTATCACCAAAAAAACAATTTTTCCTTGGACAAAAAGATTTCCGCGGGCCGGATGAGAGGACTTCGCGGGCCGCATCCGGCACCGCGGGCCGTAGTTTGGAGACCCCTGCTCTAGACCAAAGTCTGGGGGTGTCTTGTCTGCAAGTCAAAAGTTCAATGTCCAGAGGCTGCCAGAACAATTGACCAATGCCAGATATTTAAACGAGATGCTATAACGCGATAAGTACCGGACACTTAAAAGTGGTTTTTATCCACAACACGAGTGGTATTGTCCCCTCGTTAGGGCCTGGTTTTTTACACAGGTGTTGATGATCAAATGTAACTTGATCATGTTCTAGTCAACAGCTGGTTCAGAGCGACGCAAGCATCATCAGCCAGCAGCCACCACTAGACACCTGCTCCATCACCAACCAGCAACAACCACTAGACACTAGCTCCACCAGCAGCCAGCAGCCACCACTAGACACTTGCTCCATCAACAGCCACACATCGGCTGTTAAAATCTAGTGCTACCCATCACCTGACGTCATCTCACCAAAATGTTGCTGAAGGTGTTAGCTGTCACGGCGCTGACTTTAGTCGTGATTTACCTGGTGAACATGGCGCTATATCTTGGCTTCCACCTCCACTACAAGAAACACCAGCCTGGAAAATGCAGGTCATTCTCTTTATTTTTAGCAATTAAGTTCAAGCCTACTGCTTCTAGTGTCAACTTTTCTGATCCTATTTTCTAATCATTAAATTAATAGGTAGGTACTAACGTAATATATTATTACATTAACAATTAAAGCTCTTTGCGATGTTGTCAGAGATGCACCTGCATGCAATCGATCTTAGATTTGAGATTTTCTTTTTAATTATTACAATAATAAATTACTACTATTAAACTCATTATTTGCACGTCATGTATAATTTATTGAAAGTCCTCGTGTATTACAGGCCAAGTGTGTTGGACACTTTAAAATGTCGATGTTTACCTCGTTTAGTCCATATCATTACCACGTCATGTTTTAATATTGTTCAAACTTTAAAATGTCAATGTTTACCTCGTTTAGTCCATATCATTACCACGTCATGTTTTAATATTGTTCAAACTTTAAAATGTCGATGTTTACCTCGTTTAGTCCATGTCATTACCACGTCATGTTTTAATATTGTTCAAACTTTAAAATGTCGATGTTTACCTCGTTTAGTCCATATCATTACCACGTCATGTTTTAATATTGTTCAAACTTTAAAATGTCGATATTTATCTCCTTTAGTCCATGTCATTACCACGTCATGTTTTAAACATTGTTCAAACTTTAAAATGTCGATATTTATCTCCTTTAGTCCATGTCATTACCACGTCATGTTTTAAACATTGTTCAAACTTTAAAATGTCGATATTTATCTCCTTTAGTCCATGTCATTACCACGTCAACTTTCTTTCATAGTTTTTAGTGTTTTTATTCACTATTTAATCCAAATAAATCTAAGGGAAGTACTACTCATCCATTAGGGTTGAGAATGTAGTTTAATACTAATTTACTAGCCGGTTCTTATTGTGATATTTTAAGTTTTTATATTATTGTCTCACCCATTGTTAAAATGTAAACCGGATATCTATATTCTTAGTTGTTGTAGATCTACTGATGATTCGTTTTCTTTTTCATCTATTTCTACTGATGTCAGCATGATATTTTAATTTTACTGGTGAGTGAAAATGTTAGGGACTGGTGTTGTCACCAGAAGCAGCAGAGCTAAGAAGTATCGTTTAAATAAAGAAAAAGCGATATCAAAAAAGATTGCTAACATTTGTGCAGCGGATGATATTCATTTTCAAAAGAAAGATGGAGGACAATGCGTTATCATTGCCTTTAGAAACTCAATTAGCTATGAAAAAGTAAAAAGAATCTTCAAAACTAAATATGCTGGTGTTGTTGAGGAAAGAAGGGATGATGATGGCGCCAATGTTGAAGATATTTATAAATTACCAGGGCTGTCTGTCCATCTGTACCACACGAATAACAAAATTATGGTACAGGGAAAATCTAACGTTGTGTCTGTTTGGGTGGATTCGGAATTTTGCTGTATTCTAAATAACCTAATTACAACAGACAAAGCTGTCGACATGCCTCTACCCATGTCGCCGCCACTATCACTGTCACCACCACCTTCACTGTCCCCACCCAGAGTATTGGAGCTACCCATTTCACCGCCCATGATTATGTCTGCTTCCAACAGTGACAATCAATGTGCAGAGGATACGATCAATACCAATCCGTTAGATTGTGTAACACCTATAAATAACTATACATTTTCATCAAACCTATCTCAACCAACTGATTTGCTTAGTCCAAAAATATCATTTCTTCAAACCACACAACTGGATAATAACTTAAGATCGTTTATTCTTAACGAGATCACCTGTGTTAAAAAAGCTTTTAAAGCGGAGAAATTGCTGTTTAACAGCCAACTAGAACAACTCCGAGTCGAAAACGCTGTCTTAAGGGATGAAGTCAAGAGACTATCTAATGAAGTGCATAGCTGCAAAGATATACACGTTAACCTTAAGAAACGTTTGATTGATCAAGAAAATATTTCTGCGTCACTAAAGAAACTCCTCACAACCAAGAAACCCTCTTGCAGCACAATATCCACCTCAACATGTGAGGATAATCAACAACAACTAATAAATGATACAAAAATCACATCGGCAGGCATCATGCAAGAAGCTCCGTTCCCAATCCCTGTTAAAATTACACAACGTGATGACAGAGCGCGAATCAAACCATCGGAACATTCGAGTCCCAGCACCCTGCAACGACCACGAACTAAAAGCAATTCTACACAATACAGCGTCCCAACGGTCAAGGCTGTTCATGTCCCTGTTGTCCAACGCTCTACTCACTATGCCACTAATAGAGATAGCACACAACATGTCGCCGCCCCCTACACCAACCTAACAACGAAACACCATTTGATCCTTGGTGACTCTACACTTAAAGGTCTCCATCCTGATATAATGGCCACGGATCATTACGAGCGTGTATCGGTAATAGCGCTGCCTGGGGCAAATTTTGAAAAAATTAGGGACGTTATTAGTAGCCGATCACGTGACTCTAATACCACAACTGTAACCTTACATTGTGGTGTCAACGACAGTCTATCAAACGTCAGGCTGTCACAAGCTAATATGCTAGACATTGTGAGAAGTATCACTCACAAATTTCCCAACGCAACAATCCGATTTTCATCCATCGTACCCCCATGTCGGGGCAAGGGTAGGCAGTTGATAGATATAAATAATAGATTTTTACAATCTTTCTGCATTAGTTATAAATACTGTTTTATAAACAATACACCTTTTTTCACTGCGAAGTCAGGAGCCCCGAGACAACGCTTGTACAGTGACAGTATTCATTTGACTAAAATTGGAAGCAGCATTCTCGCTAAAAATATAAAGTATCCCCAAAGAGCCGTCAGCTTAACAGATAAAGACCATGTGCAACTTTCAAACGTAAAAGGTACAACGTCTGATTTGGTTTCGACTGTTGATTTGCTTCCAACAATATCTTCAGATCAATTGAACTCTAGCCCAGGCTTACATCACTTAATGGGCTTTAGCCCTTTGTTGCTTCATCAAGCTCTAATGTTGTCGCTTAAGCGCCTTCCTGGAACCTAACTTTTTTCACTTACTATTTACTAGTTTAGCTCACTGTACTATTTTAATTATAGTGAAGGCAGTGTGAAGAGCAGCGAGTGTTTGTTTATTGGATGACAAAGCGTGTAATTGTTAGACAATTATATTGATTCTGTTTATTTAGTTCATTATATTGATTTTTGTTTATAACATCTCTTATTCATTGATATTTTATTATCTTTATGCATTGTCTATTTTCATCATCCTGGCCCTCACAATGTGGGCTAAAATTGGGCCATTTAAATATTTTCCACATATTTAATAAACACCATGAAGTTCTAAAAATTTTAAACAATTCCAACAATCCTTTCCATATCTTTGGTTTCTCTGAAACTCGATTACAATCTTTTATAAATGATGTTGAGATATCCGTCTCTGATTATAACCTAATACGCCGAGACCCATCCTTACACAAAGAAACTGGCCTTTGTGTCTATGTCCACTCCTCAATTCGTTTCAAGTACAGGATGGATCTGTCAACGGACAATATAGAATGTATTTGGATTGAACTCGAAAAAAGCAAACATCATCCGGCAATTTTAATTTGCTTCCTTTATAGAAATCCCTGTGAAAACATGGATTGGTATGATCGTTTTTGCTCCATGATGGATACCGTTTTATTTACTAACAATGAATATATCATATTGGGAGATTTTAATATAAATTTATTAAAACCTCAAGGATATTGGCAAGATATTATTGATTCTTTGAATCTTAAACAATTTGTGCACACGGCTACCAGGGTAAATGATAAATCTAGTACAATAATTGACCACATATACGCATCACCTGACTGCAACCTAATAGAGGTCTGTGTCCCCTCTTGTGGTGTTAGTGATCACTTCCCTGTTTGTTGTACTTTTTCGACAAAAAGATTATGTGTACCTTCGCGGCAACACATAACTATAAGTTATCGCTCTTTTAGAAAATTTAATGAAAATCTTTTTCTTTCGGATTTATTGGCTGCCCCCTTCTGCAATGTATACAATTATAATTGTCCCGATCTTGCCATTTCTGAATGGCTGCGTATTTTCTATACTATATATGACAAACATATTCCTAAAATCTCTAAAAGAGTTAAGACTACATACAAACCTTCTTGGTTTAACAACAATATCGAATCTGCAATTAATAAAAGAGACTGGCTTAAACGTTATGGAACTTCTGAGGACTTTTGTAGGCAGCGAAATTATGTCAAACTGCTCGTGCGTAGGTCGAAGAAAGAGTATTTTAATAAGCTGCTGTCAGGCAAACCTAATTCCAAATCTATCTGGACTGCTATAAATCAAATAATTAGAAAAAAACGCACATGTAATACAGCTGGACATTGCCAGATATCTGCTGATGACTTTAACAATCATTTTATATCATCTGTAGCGCTCAACACAGATGCTGATTACACAATCAGTGAGGAGCTTAAAAATTTTTGTAATTCTGCTCACCGTGGTAGGACAGAGCTGATCATTCCGCTTCTCACTGTTCATGAAGTTTATGTTAGCCTAAGATCTCTTAAACCGTCTTCAACAACTTCGTTTGATGATATTTCTAATAATGTATTGAAGATTTCAGCTCCAATAATTTCCGAAGTTTTAACCTATGTCTATAACCTCTGTATTGCCAAGCATTATTACCCGACACATTTTAAGCATGCTAAGGTTATACCACTACACAAAAAAGGTAACATCCAAGATGCTAATAACTACAGGCCAATTTCTATACTTTCTTCCCTCTCCAAGCCACTAGAAATACATATAAACAAATGCATTTCATATTACCTAGAAAAGTTCAAGCTTTTCCATAGTAATCAGTCTGGGTTTAGAAAGTTTCATTCTTGTCACACTGCTCTGATTAAGATGAATGAAAACTGGCTTATAAATATTAACAAAAACCTACTCTGTGGCTCGCTGTTTGTCGATTTCAGAAAAGCCTTTGATTCTATTGATCACACCATACTTCTTAAAAAACTAATTCCATACAAATTCCACGACTTTACAGTTAGGTTACTTCACTCCTTTTTATCTAACCGATCTCAACGCGTGTTTCACCTTAATACCATCTCTTCACAGAAATATGTTAATATAGGGGTTCCACAGGGCTCAATCTTAGGTCCTTTACTTTTTTCTTTATACATTAATGATCTTCCATTACATATTGACGCTGGTCAGTGCGAGATGTTCGCTGATGATACTTCTTTGCATGTCTTTGCAGACAGTGCTGAGTCACTCAGTTACAAACTTCAAACATGTGCCAATCAGCTTGCAACTTGGACAAAATTTAACAAAATGAAACTTCACCCCGATAAAACCAAGTCAATGTTTATTACAACTCATCAGAAACGCCTTCGTCTTCCATCCACCGCATTAAACATTACTATAGACAATTCAAACATTGAACAGGTAGACAGTTACAAATGCCTAGGATTGTTTATAGATCACAACCTCACTTGGTCTGACCATATTCATTTTCTAAGAATGTCCTTATTAAAGACAACCTTTCAGTTAGCAAGGATAAAGAACTTTCTCAACTATAGGAGCAGGCTGGTTTTTTATGAGGCTTTTATTCAATCCAGGTTGGATTATGCTTCTGTAGTGTGGAGCGGCAGCTTTATATCTAAGCAGCGTCCTCTTCTTTCTTTACAAAAAAGGGCTATAAAACTGGTTACTGGCTTGTCTAGTAGTATGGATTCTTTTCTTACAACTAAAATACTTCCATTAAATAAAAAGATAATATATACTAAATCAATTTTCTTATATAAAATATTCCACGAAACAGCCCCCTCTTACTTATCAGATCTATTTTCTTTTAACATAAAATTAAATCGTCGTCTCAATTTACCATTCCCTTATTCAACCTTTTTCCAAAAACATAGCTTCGCCTACTCTGGTTCTAATTTGTGGAACAATCTTCCTAATAAAATAAAGCTATCTAGATCTGAAAATATATTCAAATCTAAATTAAAACTAAAATTATTTAATGACCTAACTGACTCATTGTAACATTTCTCATTCATCTATTATATTCTCTTTTTTATCTCATTATGTATGATAGCTATGTACCATTGTTTCTTTATTCCACATTTTCAGTGCTATGTGTTACTGCTATGTGTTATTGAATTGCTTTATTTGTTTAAACGGCCAATGTGAAAAAAGGCCTTTGTGCCTACAATTGTAACCGTTGTTTGAATAAATTTGAATAAAAATTTGAATAACGTCATGTTTTAAACATTGTTCAAACTTTAAAATGTCGATATTTATCTCCTTTAGTCCATGTCATTACCACGTCATGTTTTAAACATTGTTCAAACTTTAAAATGTCGATATTTATCTCCTTTAGTCCATGTCATTACCACGTCATGTTTTAAACATTGTTCAAACTTTAAAATGTCGATATTTATCTCCTTTAGTCCATGTCATTACCACGTCATGTTTTAAACATTGTTCAAACTTTAAAATGTCGATGTTTACCTCGTTTAGTCCATGTCATTACCACGTCATGTTTTTACATTGTTCAAACAATGTCACATGACACAGATAGAGATTCTAATATTACATTTCAAGTGCTTTCCTAGTGATGAGGGTTAATCATTTTTTTTTACTGCGCTTTACAAATTTTAGGTATTGACTCATCGCTGTGTAGATCGCTAGAGCTCACGATTGATTTTGTGTTCCATCATAAACGTCATCGGTCTACTGTCAGATTTTGACATAGGCTTTTTAAAACTAGCAATTAATTAATTAAATTTTTCAAACTTTCAGTCGAGTGAAAGGGTTGGATTACGGATCCGAAGATTTCCAAGTGACCACTGATGGTCTGGCTTTCGTCACATCCGGTGTGTCCTTCTCGGTAGCATCATCAGGCTACAAAGATTTCATCGCCGCCAATAAGGTCAAAGGTCGCATCGTCTTGTTCGACTTCAATAAACCGGAAGCTGGGGTCACCGAGTTGAAAGTTCGACCCAGTCCAAATTTTAACCCGGACACGTTCCGTCCCCACGGCATTTCTCTTCTGGAAGATTCCAGGAGCAAGCAGCATCTTCTCTACGTCGTCAGCCACCCCGACAACCTGCCGGACAGAGTCGAGAAGTTCCGATTTCTGCCGGAGACTGGCGAACTCGAGCACGTCAAGTTTTTCACGGACGAAAAGTTTTTCCTGCTCAACGACCTGGCGGTGGTGGCGGAGGACCAGTTCTACGTCAGCAACATGAACTACTTCACCAGCCACAATCTGGCTTTGGCTGAAGCCATTTTACCCCTCAACTTGGCTACAGTCGTTTTCTTTGACGGCACCAAGGGCACTGACGTCATAACCGGCGTCACCGGGCCAAACGGGGTCACTTTATCAACCGACAAAAGGTAAAAAGATTTTTTTTTTTTATCTTTGGTAACAATGGCAACTAGTCCAATATATGGAACATTGTGAGTTCATTTTAGTACATTTACATGCCATTTGTGTCACAAAACCATACATATATATATATATACGAGAAAAATGGCCCGTTGAGGAAGGATACACCGGGCGCTAGCTTGATAGTGCTGTCTCTTTTCTCTAAACTAAAACCAACCCACCCCCCCCCCCACACACACCACCCCCACCCCACCCCCACACACCACCCCCCACCCCCACCCCCCACCCCCCACACACACCGCCCCCTCCACACACCGCCCCCCCCCACACACACCACCCCCCCCCACCCCTCCACCCCCCCCCCCCCAAAAAAAAACATGCCTACCGTCCCATTCAACGAAATATAATTATATACTTTTTCCAGTGTCCGCCCCTTCCCCGAAAATTCTACCCCCGCCCCCGAAAATTTCAAGTACCCCCACCCCTCTCTGGGGAGGAAAAAGTCTAAACTAAAACCACCCCACCCCCCACACACACCACCCCCCACCCCCCACACACACCACACCCCCCCCCCCCACCCCCACCCCCCACCCCCCCCCCCCCCCCAAAAAACATGTCTACCGTCCCATTCAACGAAATATAATTATATACTTTTTCCAGTGTCCGCCCCCTCCCCGAGGGGGGGGGGGTCTCAGACATTCTTACGCGGGGGGTGGGGCTTCGCCCCTACCCGAAGAATTGTATGCAAGAAACTCTTCACGCAAACCATTAAGATTAGACAACATTTCCTTTTTATTCAATGTTAACGCGAAAATCAATGACGTCATATAACTTTGAGCACTCTCTGGGTTTGAGATTATTTTCTACTCTGTGCGCTAAATGTGTCGACGTCATACTTCGTTTTTCGAATTACTGTGCATGTTTTTATTTTCCTTGTGTTTTCTCTAGAGCGTTCTTGTCAGATAGATAGATAGACAGACAGCGAAACTATTAGTATTAATATATATATACGAGAAAAATGGCCCGTTGAGGAAGGATACACCGGGCGCTAGGTTGATAGTGCTGTCTCTTTTCTCTAAACAAAAACCACCCCCCCCCACACACACCACCCCCACCCCCACCCACACCCCCACCCACACCACCCCAACCCCCCACCCCCCCACACACCACCCCCCCCCCCATACACCACCCCCCCACCCCCACCCCTACACACACCACCCCACACACACACCACCCCCCACCCCCACCCCCCCCCCCCCCCAAAAAAAACATGTCTACCGTCCCATTCAACGAAATATAATTATATACTTTTTCCAGTGTCCGCCCCCTCCCCGAAAATTCTACACCCGCCCCCGAAAATTTCAAGTACCCTCACCCCTCTCCGGGGAGGAAAAAGTCTAAATTAAAACCACCCCCCACTCACCCCCACCCCCCCCCCCCCACACACACACACCACCCCCCCCCCCACCCCCCACCAACCCCCCCCCCCCCCAAAAAAAAAGCATGTCTACCGTCCCATTCAACAAAATATAATTATATACTTTTTCCAGTGTCCGCCCCCTCCCCGAAAATTCTACCCCCGCCCCCGAAAATTTCAAGTACCCCCACCCCTCTCCGGGGAGGAAAAAGTCTAAATTAAAACCACCCCCCCCCCCCACTCACCCCCCATCCCCCCCCCACACACCCCCCCTCCCCCCACCCCCCACCCACAACCCCCCCCCCCTAAAAAAACATGTCTGCCGTCCCATTCAACGAAATATAATTATATACTTTTTCCAGTGTCCGCCCCTCCCCGAAAATTCTACCCCCGCCCCCGAAAATTTCAAGTACCCCCCACCCCTCTCCGGGGAGGAAAAAGTCTAAATTAAAACCACCCCCCCACTCAACCCCCCCCCCCCCCACCCCCACCCCCACCCCCCTCAGACGTTCTTACGCGGGGGTGGGGCTTCGCCCCTACCCGAAGAATTGTATGCAAGAAACTCTTCACGCAAACCATTTAGATTAGACAACATTTCCTTTTTTTCAATGTTTCAATGACGTCATTACATTACTGTGTGCACTCTCTGGTTTGAGATTATGTTGTACTCTACGCTAAATGTGTCGACGTCATATTTCGTTTTTCGAATTACTGTGCAGGTTTTTAAATTCCTTGTGTTTTCTCTAGAGCGTTCTTGTCAGACAGATAGATAGATAGAGAGACAGCGAAACTATTATTATAGACTAGATAAATGGCCCGTTGAGGAAGGGTACAACGGGCGCTAGGCTGATAGTGCTGTCTCTTTTCTCTAAACTAAAACCAACCCACCCCCCCACACACCACCCCCACCCCCACCCCCCCCCCGACCCCCAGACACCACCCCCACCCCCACCACACACCACCCCCACCCCCACACACCATCCCCACCCCCCACCCCCACCCCCCACCCCCACCCCCCTCCACACACCGCCCCCCCACCCCACCCCTCCAACCCCCCCCCCTCCACCGCCCCCCCCCCCAAAAAAAACCATGTCTACCGTCCCATTCAACGAAATATAATTATATACTTTTTCCAGTGTCCGCCCCCTCCCAGAAAATTCTACCCCCGCCCCCGAAAATTTCAAGTACCCCCACCCCTCTCCGGGGAGGAAAAAGTCTGAAAGAAACACTGAAACCAACCCACCCCCCACACACCACCCCCACCCCCCACACACCACCCCCACCCCCCCACACACCCCCCCCCCCACCCCTCCACACACCCCCCACCCACCCCTCCACCCCCCCCCCCCCCCCAAAAAAAACATGTCTACCGTCCCATTGCAAGAAAACCACTTTTTAGATTAGACACATTAATTTTATTATAGAGTATCGATGAGGAAATTTCTTTTGAGTTGGGGAGGGGGAGGGGCTCAGACGTTCTTACGCGGGGGGTGGGGCTTCGCCCCTACCCGAAGAATTGTATGCAAGAAACTCTTCACGCAAACCACTTAGATTAGACCAAATTGCCTTTGTATTGAATATGTTTACTCGATAATCAATGACGTCATATAACTGTGTGCACTCTCTGGGTTTGAGATTATTTTCTACTCTGTGCGCTAAATGTGTCGACGTCATACTTCGTTTTTCGAATTACTGTGCATGTTTTTAAATTGCTTGTCTTTTCTCTAGAGCGTTCTTGTCAGACAGATAGATAGATAGAGAGACAGCGAAACTATTATTATAGATATTTATATATATATATATATATATATATATATATATATATATATATATACACAAATACATACTAATTATATTTATATTGATGATTCCTTATGTTTATTTGTAGGTATGTCTACGTGAATTTCCCATTTCTCTATCAAATGAGAGTTTATGAAAGGAAGGGAGATAATTCACTAACTCTGGTCCAAACATTAGACCTGTTTACGGGCCCTGACAACATACATCTCTCACTAGACGGCAAGTCCCTATATCTGGGTTGTCACCCTGTCTTTCACAAAGCCATGAGTCATCTCGACAACCCGAACCTCAGGGCTCCATCCTCGGTAAGGTTGTCTTTCATATATCAGTCGGTTTAGACCACTAGTTAGGTTGTCTTTCATATATCAGTAGGTTTAGACCACGAGTTAGGTTGTCTTTCATATATCAGTAGGTTTAGACCACGAGTTAGGTTGACTTTCATATAACAGTAGGTTTAGACCACTAGTTAGGTTGTCTTTCATATAACAGTAGGTTTAGACCACTAGTTAGGTTGTCTTTCATATATCAGTAGGTTTAGACCACGAGTTAGGTTGTCTTTCATATATCAGTAGGTTTAGACCACGAGTTAGGTTGTCTTTGGGATGTGTTAAATGGTGTGTACATCTCACGTCATCAGGTGCTGAAGGTCCCTCTTGTTGACGGGCTGCCTGACCCAGATGACATCACAGAGGAGTTCTACGACCACGGTGACGTCATCTCGGCGTCATCTATTGCTGCTGTTTATAATAACAGGCTGTTGATTGGTTCAGTAATAGACAAGCTGGTGGTGTGTGAGTGTAGGGGTTAGGTGTGTGGGTTAAGGTGTGTAGTTAAAGGTGTGTGGTCACTGGTGTGTCGGCACAGGTGTGTGGGTACAGGTGTGTGGGTACAGGTGTGTGGGTAAAGGTGTGTGGGTACAGGTGTGTGGTCACTGGTGTGTGGGCACAGGTGTGTGGGTAAAGGTGTGTGGGTACAGGTGTGTGGTCACAAGTGTGTGGGTAAAGGTGTGTGGTCACTGGTGTGTGGGCACAGGTGTGTGGGTACAGGTGTGTGGGTAAAGGTGTGTGGGTACAGGTGTGTGGTCACAAGTGTGTGGGTACAGGTGTGTGGTCACAGGTGTGTGGGTACAGGGGTGTTGTCATAGGTGTGTGGGCACAGGTGTGTGGGTACAGGTGTGTGGGTAAAGGTGTGTGGGTACAGGTGTGTGGGTACAGGTGTGTGGGTAAAGGTGTGTGGTCACAGGTGTGTGGGTACAGGTGTGTGGGTTAAGGTGTGTGGGTACAGGTGTGTGGGTACAGGTGTCATTGGAATAGGTACAGCAGTGTGGGTAAAGGTGTATTTGTTACAGTGACAAGGTGTGCGTTTATGTTTTTGTGTGTCTTCACTTTTTGGTGTGTGGGTACATGTGTATGTGTTCTGGCGTGTGGGTTCAGGCGTGTGGGTATAGGTGTATCGATTGGATACAGGTGTGTGGTTACAAAGGCCAGGTGTGTGTATTCACATATTCACATGTTAAATGTGTGTGTACAATTAGAAATAACATATGTGTAAGGTGACTTAGTCTTAATAAATGGCGTAATAATATAGCTGAAAGATGCTGTGATCTCGCATTTGACATGGCAACCATCTATATAGATTATGAGATTGTTTTGATTGTTTTATAGCAAAGGTTTTTTTTTATTATAAACTGTTTCTCTAATTATTTACTGTTTCATTTTACTGAATTCTATGCTATAATTAGTATAATTGATACTATTTTTTATCTGATGTTGTTTGTTAAAAGGGGTACCTTTTCTACATTTATAATAGTCATGTCTGGGGCATTAGCTGTATCTAATTTACAAGCTACACGATAAACTTGTTATATTGTTGGTTTCATTAGCTGTATGTAATCTACACGATAAACTTGTTATATTGTTGGTTTCTTCAATCAAATTCATTCTCTCGAGATTCTAACGTTACTCAATTATGTTTAGTGTGAATTAAAAACAATATATAATTACGAGTTGATTAATTACTTTTGTATAATATAGTATAGTTCCACGCTCTTCTTCAGATAGCACTCAATGTATTAGATGATCTGTGCTAGTGACTGAGTTAATCTTCTGTCCGTACTATCCATTGGATTAACGGTTTGTCCGTACTATCCATTGGATTAACGGTTTGTCCGTACTATCCATCGGATTAACGGTTTGCCGGCAGAGAAGAACACATCTCATACACCCCCACCCACCATTTGATTGACCCAAACCAAGACTACATCGAAGCAACATGCCGAAAAACACAAAGGTTTCAAAGTGATTTAGAACACTAACAGACTTGGATCATTTACCGTCCACCAAATTGTCGATACTGTTATCAAAAGCTGTAAATCTCTTTGGTTCGTGTATTCGGTGGTTGACTTCAGAGATCTAAACAGGGGTAAATTGGGGGTCTAGATCTAAACAGGGGTAAATTGGGGGTCTAGATCTATACGTTGTGGAGAGGTGGGGGGTGTCTAGACCTATGCACGTATCAAGCACTGGTTCATTTAAGTAACCGTTGGTAATTAACGAATAATTAGATGTGTTAATCACACGTTGAAACAATGACATGTGAAAAATCACCACACATTTGATAAAATCACCCGTCCCAATCACCTGTCCCAATCACTTGTCCCAATCACCTGGACTAATTCCCTGTCCCAATCACCAGTCGTCCCTCATTATTAGTAATATTACACCTTCCCCTATCCCCTCCCCTCTCGTCTTCCCATCGACAGGATAAAACTACTCTGCTTAGCTCTAGAGGTTGGGGTGATGACAATGTAGAAAGGGGATATCACGCGGTCCCCTTTAAAGGCCAAAAGTCCACCGTGACAAACGACACCCTAGCTCATTAACATATATGTATAACAAATGCGTTGCTTGTTTAAATACTGTCACAAGCTAATTAACGACTGATGAAACTAATTACAATTGATAATGCTCCTATTGTTGGATACTGCGAGACATCTGTGACTTAAAACTTGACACCAGTGGGCACTACCTGGGCCCACAATACCTGGGGTGGTGGCTCCACCAGTGGGCACTACTTGGGGTGGTGGCTCCACCAGTGGGCACTACCTGGGCCCACAATACCTGGGGTGGTGGCTCCACCAGTGGGCACTACCTGGGTGGTGGCTCCACCAGTGGGCTCTACCTGGGCCCACACTACCTGGTGTGGTGGCTCCACCAGTGGGCACTACCTGGGCCCACAATACCTGGGGTGGTGGCTCCACCAGTGGGCACTACCTGGGCCCACAATACATGGGGTGGTGGCTCCACCAGTGGGCACTACCTGGGGTGGTGGCTCCACCAGTGGGCACTACCTGGGCCCACAATACCTGGGTGGTGGCTCCACCAGCGGGCACTACTTGGGGTGGTGGCTCCACCAGTGGGCACTACCTGGGCCCACATTACCTGGTGTGGTGGCTCCACCAGTGGGCACTACCTGGGCCCACAATACCTGGGGTGGTGGCTCCACCAGTGGGCACTACCTGGGCCCACAATACCTGGGGTGGTGGCTCCACCAGTGGGCACTACCTGGGTGGTGGCTCCACCAGTGGGCACTACCTGGGCCCACAATACCTGGGGGGGTGGCTCCACCAGTGGGCACTACCTGGGGTGGTGGCTCCACCAGTGGCCACTACCTGGGCCCACAATACCTGGGGTGGTGGCTCCACCAGTGGGCACTACCTGGGGTGGCGGCTCCACCAGTGGGCACTACCTGGGCCCACAATACCTGGGGTGGTGGCTCCACCAGTGGGCACTACCTGGGCCCACAATACCTGGGGTGGTGGCTCCACCAGTGGGCACTACCTGGGGTGTCGGCTCCACCAGTGGGCACTACCTGGGGTGGTGGCTCCACCAGTGGGCACTACCTGGGCCCACAATACCTGGGGTGGTGGCTCCACCAGTGGGCACTACTTGGGCCCACAATACCTGGGGTGGTGGCTCCACCAGTGGGCACTACCTGGGGTGGTGGCTCCACCAGTGGGCACTACCTGGGCCCACAATACGTAGGGTGGTGGCTCCACCAGTGGGCACCAGCATGTACATGGCACCAAAGTCTCGAGACCCGGGCATCGAGTGGGCCTACATCTAATTTATATGCCCTTGAAAGGCAGACACAAGGGGAGACTATTCATAAATTAAGCTCTCCCAGGGACATCGCGTATGTTTGGTGATAGATCTGTTTATATTTAGTGTTCTTAAGATAAAAACTGTTATCAGATAATTTTTGATTTACAGCGTTCTTTAGGAAATGATTTTTTTAAAACAGTGGCCTGTACCAGGTTCTAGACTACCAGAAACGTTAGCGCATCAGGTTCATGTTTTGGTCTGAAGTTGTTTTAGTTTTATCAGAAGTGGAAGACTCAGATAGAATAGAATAGAATAGAATAGAATAGAATAGAGTAGAGTAGAATAGAATAGAATAGAATAGAATAGAATAGAATAGAATAGAATAGAATAGAATAGAATAGAATAGAATAGAATAGAATAGAATAGAATAGAATAGAATAGAATAGAATAGAATAGAATAGAATAGAATAGAATAGAATAGAATAGAATAGAATAGAATAGAATAGAATAGAATAGAATAGAATAGAATAGAATAGAATATTTTCTTTTAAAGCATAAGCTTTTTTGTGTTAAATAAATATTAATCCGTACGCTTATTAAATCTTCTAGTTTCAAGTTGTATTTGCTAAGGTTAACTACGCTTAACTTGATCCAAAACCTAATTAATACCTGGATCTACGAGCTAATGGTTTCCAGAAAAAGTTTTTAAAATATGCTTAAAAACATTTTGATAACGAGCTTTTATGTAATACTGCACTACAAACGTTTAAATAACAATCGTTCTATATAAGTATGCACTAGAAGTAGAAAATGTCTAGTACATTCATTTATAACAGTAAGGGAGAAGCAGTCCGGATATAGAAATGTTTTTGACTGATTTTTACAAGCCTTTATTTAACTTGCTTCCTCTGTCTGTCTCTGTCACCAAATGAACGTACAATAGAACTCAGTGCAAAAAATAATTGCGCACCAATAAACGTAAACAGTATGTGCATAGTAGAGCAAAAAATTAGTAGGCCTACTTTATAAAGTAACGAAAATTATTATTAAAAATTAATTATACAGCTAATTAAGCCACATGTTGTGTCACGGTGCGTTGTTGAAAAACGTGAAAAATGTTGAAAAAAATCGGTAAGGTTGAAGTAATCTCTTTTCAGATATCGGAAATAGCGTAATGAAATACATTCGATCACCGGAAATCATTCAAAATTTGAAAGAATCAAGGAAATAAGATTTTATACCTACGTTTAATATTTCGTACACATAACTGAAACGGTACTAAGTTATAGGGCTTGTAAGTAGGTCACCAACCTGTTCTATGGCTCATGCAGGTTTTATTGAGCCGTAGAACAGGTTGGTGACCTACTTACCAGCCCTATTGGTATTTTAGAACACAGAAATATAGTAAAATACAACTTCCGCGTATTTGATGCCTATCAAAAATTGTAAGTAATCCAAGTATAAGATGTTGTACTTAAGTACGAAACTTCGTCTAACTACCTGGAACAGTGCTCAAGCTATAGCCTTCACACGGAAATAGAGTAAAATACAATTTTCGGTTACCGGAAATCGTTCGAAAGTTGATACAAAACTACAAATTTGATATAATACCTATAGTTCAAATGTCGTCAACATAACTGAAACGGTACTTAATTTATCGTGTTCACAGTCAGACATTTAGAATTACGGACGGAATTGCGAAGTTCATTTTTTCCTACTTGATTTCCGAAATTTTGATAAATCTGGATTTAGATTTTTTGTCCGATTAAAATAGGTCACCTTAACTCCATATATGAAAAAGTACTGAAAACTGTCAAAATGGCATGCGATTTTTGTGCACGATTACAATATTTCCCCTAAACTTTGTATACTAGAAGATTAAACAGACTTAGGTTTAAAATTTTCTTTTATTACTTAAGGTAAGGTTTTCAAGGAATACATAAAGCTAATCGAGCATATTCAGATAGCGTTATTTTGGGATTCAAACAAGCTGAATATTTCCTAGAAGTCCGCACTTTTGTTAACGTTATTTTATTTCTGGGCCGTTCGCATAATTAACATAACCTTTATGTTGTGCATAAATTATGCCACCAGCTGGTGGAATATCCTGGGCGTGCTGTATTTAGATTAACAGCGGGCAGTGACTTGCTATTTGTCGTTAAAGATATATGAACCTTGTGTTTCATACGATCTAGCTGGTTTTGACTTAAACATCTAGATCTAGTCAGAAAATTTATTTTAGAATAGGAGCTCGGGGTGGATTAGCTAGGATCTACATATGATCTTGTGGTTACATTGAAAAGGTTGACATGACTTAGTTACACATTTTTACTGACGCATGACTGCATGTTCCATTTTTAACACATACTGACATGTAGAGGGCGCTTGGGATTCATAAGAGCCTGCCGTCTTTTAACTGCTAGCACTTTTGTCTTGGATCGACCTCTAAGAGTTTCTCTTAGGGGCTCCCAAAAGACAGAGTGCTATCGGAAGAATGGCGACACGGCTTGGATGAACGAGTTACTGACGCATGACTGTATTTTGACGCATACTATCGTGTAGAGGGCGCTTGGGATTCATAAGAGCCTGCCGTCTTTTAACTGCTAGCACTTTTGTCTTGGATCGACCTCTAAGAGTTTCTCTTAGGGGCTCCAAAAGACAGAGTGCTATCGGAAGAATGGCGACACGGCTTGGATGAACGAGTGACTGACGCATGACTGTATTTAGACGCATACTATCGTGTAGAGGGCGCTTGGGATTCATAAGAGCCTGTCGTCTTTTAACTGCTAGCACTTTTTGTCTTGGATCGACCTCTAAGAGTTTCTCTTAGGGGCTCCAAAAGACAGAGTGCTATCGGAAGAATGGCGACACGGCTTGGATGAACGAGTTACTGACGCATGACTGTATTTAGACGCATACTATCGTGTAGAGGGCGCTTGGGATTCATAAGAGCCTGCCGTCTTTTAACTGCTAGCACTTTTTGTCTTGGATCGACCTCTAAGAGTTTCTCTTAGGGGCTCCAAAAGACAGAGTGCTATCGGAAGAATGGCGACACGGCTTGGATGAACGAGTTACTGACGCATGACTGTATTTAGACGCATACTATCGTGTAGAGGGCGCTTGGGATTCATAAGAGCCTGCCGTCTTTTAACTGCTAGCACTTTTTGTCTTGGATCGACCTCTAAGAGTTTCTCTTAGGGGCTCCAAAAGACAGAGTGCTATCGGAAGAATGGCGACACGGCTTGGATGAACGAGTTACTGACGCATGACTGTATTTAGACGCATACTATCGTGTAGAGGGCGCTTGGGATTCATAAGAGCCTGTCGTCTTTTAACTGCTAGCACTTTTTGTCTTGGATCGACCTCTAAGAGTTTCTCTTAGGGGCTCCAAAAGACAGAGTGCTATCGGAAGAATGGCGACACGGCTTGGATGAACGAGTTACTGACGCATGATTGTATTTTGACGGATACTATCGTGTAGAGGGCGCTTGGGATTCCGAAGCGCCTGCCGTCTTTTAACTGCTAGCACTTTTTGTCTTGGATCGACCTCTAAGAGATTCTCTTAGGGGCTCCAAAAGACAGAGTGCTATCGGAAGAATGGCGACACGGCTTGGATGAACGAGTTACTGACGCATGACTGTATTTTGACGCATACTATCGTGTAGAGGGCGCTTGGGATTTACAGGATCCTGCCGTCTTTTGACTGCTAGTACTTTTTTCTTGGATAGACCTCTAAGAGATTCTCTTAGGGGCTCCAAAAGACAGAGTGCTATCGGAAGAATGGCGACATGGCTTGGATGAACGAGTGACTGACGCGTGACTGTATGTTCCATTTATTAACACATACTAAGTTACCGACGCATGACTATGTTCTAATTTTTAACTCATACTAACTTGCGAATGGAAGTGTTTTTTTAACTTTTAGCTACGTGTTTTAGTTATCTTAATTAGAGCTATTAAGCAAATATTGTCTTGCCTTAAAATGCTGCTGCTAACATTAATGTTTCTCCACCTTTTATAGTCATTCTCTATATTATATTGTGTACTTTCACTTTTCAAGCTAATCCAAAAGGTTGGCAGAAAAGGGAATTTTATTATCGTTTAAGAAAAAATGTTGCAAATTTAAAAAATTTGGGCCCCTCGGGTGTTGCTATATCGACCCTATCAATTATCCGCACTGGTCGTTTGTTTTGCGAAAAGAAAATCCGTTCATTACTTGCATAGGTTGATAAAATACCGAATACGTCATACCAACTAAACTTGGATTTTTCTCCCCCAACGACTATCATCATCCGACATTTATTATTAGAATTAATAATTAGACGGTTATACACATGTTTTCTAACATAAACGTCCTAACCTTGGAGTTGATATACCATTTTTAATATTGTTATTCCAGTAACAGCGCCAGCCTCCATCACACCCCCCCCCCCCCCATCATTAATATCACATTTGGTACAACATGTGTCATCCGCTGCTGTAACTGAGGGTGTCACCCTCACCCTCCCTTTCCCTTTACTTTTCTATTATTTTAACAGAGTATAATTGCTTTTACAGCACATTTTACGTGTTTTTTATGTGGTGTTAAGGGGTCGTCGTGGTCGAGTCGGTAAAGCTCATGGTTGCTAAACCGAAAAGTCTCGAGTTCGAACCCTCGGGCAGATGAGGCTCGTTAGCTGTTGACAGCCACTCTCCTAGGAGAGACAACTCCAAAATTAAACAACTGCTGCCTTGTAGTTTGTTCTTGGTTGGACAAAGGCTATGGAAGCAAATCCAAAAAGAAAAGCAGGCTGAAATCGGAGTCAATGGCCTCAAAGGCGCATAACCAGTTGACACGTAACGCTTAATTGTGTTGGAGGCGTGGTCGAGTCGGCAAAAAGCTCATGGTTGATAAATTCGAACAAAGTCTCGAGTTCAAAACCCACTGGCAGATAAATCTCGATCACCCTTCAACACTAATAATTAAGAACGAAGAAGAAGAAGAAGAATGTGGTGTTAACCCCAACAGGTACCCGCATATACGCACCGCACCCCTGTATTTATTATTTCATGTCAGGAAGTTGTTGTAAACACAACCGGTGTCCAGACCTGAAATAGTTTCATTGTTCTCTTGCTCGTCCGCATTGATAACCACCAAGGCGTCACCATGTCGTCCGTCCCTCTGTCTATAAGTCTGTATGTTTGTTCGTCCGTCAGTCAGTCCGTCTATCATTCTACATCTGTCCGTCCATCCGTCGGTCTGTGTCCGTCCGTCAGTCCGTTCGTCCGTCCGTAAGTCTGTCCATTTGTCCGTCAGTTTTTCCGTCAGTTAGTCCGTCTATCCGTTCATCCGTCCGTCAGTCCAACCAACTTGGGAACAGAACAAAACCAAGCACAAACACAAACGCAAACAAACTCAATCTCTAAAACGCAAACTCAATCTGAAACACAAACGCAAACACTCGGAGGTCCGCGCGCAGAGAGAGCCTTTCCCACATTCTCTGATTTAACCAACCCTTTTTAATTTAAAAACAAATTGTGATTTCCAGAGATAATAATTTTTTTTAAATCTTAACATTAATCTATTATAATTATGAGCCCTAACATTATAATCAATGCAGTGGGAATAAAAAAAAATTCTTAAATAGCAATATTTAGCGCAATTTGAATTTCTTTTAAACACCCCCCCCCCCGGGCATTAGTGTTTTTTAGTGTTTTAATTTTAATTTGGATTAGTTTGATTAGTTATCAAAAAGCATCAATTTTTTTCCAACATATAAGCGAAAATATTTTTTAACATTGATCCATTCAGCACTGTGCGTGTATTTAATATTTTCTTCACGTGCATTTGCCGAAAATCAAACAATTTTAAGTCGTTATATTAAAAAAATTCTACTCCAATACTTATAAGTAAAATCACGGCATGTAGTGTTTACTTTTATTGTTCCAAAATCCATAGCGATGACGGAAGGACGGAAAGAATCAAGGACTGACACACTACTTGGCAGCTTATGTATATATATATATATATATATATATATATATATATATATATATATATATATATATATATATATATATATATATATATATACTAGCTGCATACCAGTGCTCCGCCACGGTAAATCTTTTTAAATGTACCAACCTGGGAACAGAACAAAACTAAGTACAACACAAACACAAAAGAAAACACAAACACAACACAACCACACAAGAAAATACAAACATAATGCAAACACAAACGCAAAAAAAAAAAAACGAAAAAATAAACAGAACACTCATAACATAAACACAACTTAAATGCAAATATAAAAGCATAGTGCTTACAGTTTAGCCCGTGGCGCCAAATCGCACCCTGTCCAAGCGCCGGCGGACGCGCCTGATTCAGTGAATGACTATAAAAACCCCAGCTTGTCCGCAAACAAAAAGTTAGATTAATAATTAGTAAACAGTACGTTCAGTGTATAAAATAAATAAAAGGCAGTATTTAAAATATCCGTGTTTTAGCTAACTTATTGCACTTTATCTATTCATGAATTTTTGTTAAGTACTTTAATAAAAATTTACAATAGAGTTTCATGACTAAAACCATTGCGCACCTAATGAACGTGATGACGCGTCTATTACAGTGCGGAATAGTTGATTAAAATTATAATTAGTAAACAGGACGTTTAGTGAATAAAACAAATAAAAGATAGCCTTTTATCAATCCATGCTAATTATAATATTCCAACAATAATGTCCTCTGCAGATTTGCATTCACATTTTGCTAATTATATTATTGCAAAAATAATTCCTTTTGGAGGTCCGTAGATTTTAGAATCACATTTTTTTTATTAGCGTGAGTTGAATTTATTTTTAAATTACCTCCCTTGAAAATTACAAAACAGTTGAATTAATTCGTATTTTCGACCCCATTATTATTAAAAATGTATCCCTTTTTCTAGGAATCTAAACGAAAATGATATTTGACATTGATCCTTTTAATCTGTTTTAGCAATGTGCGTGTATTTAACAGTGGCAACTATAAAATAAATTTAAATCGTTATATAAACAAACCCTACTTTATTCCATATAATAAGACAATGCGATGCACTGAAAAGCACTGCAAAGTGCGTTGTTTACTTTTATGGTTCCAAAAGCTATAGCGATGACACGAGAAAGGAAGGACTGACACACTACCAGTCCGCTTATATTATAGATATATATATACCATTTTGTCAATTTTAAAGTGAGTTTAGTGGAATTTTCTACATTGAGTATTTTCCTATGACTTAAAATGTATTGGTTTCTCTCTTTGGTATAAAAGAAAAATATAATTGGTTGGTGCTGTAATGTATGCTTTCAGTTCTAAATAGGGTTAATGTAATATCAGTATTGTATGAATGTTTTCAGTTTTATTATTGTATTATCGTTAGTTTTATATCATCTAAGGTTTCAAACTCTTTAACCTTTTCTTCTATTTGTTTAAAGAACATGGGAGGTAATCGCACCCACCACTCACACTTACTTTGTTGTACTGGAGATTTAGAGGAACAAAAACAGAATTATATTTTGTTAAAAATTACTTAGACCATTTTTTTTTTGATCGACGTATCCCGCACGAGTTGAAAGTCCCATTAAATTTTACCTGCTTTAAGACGTATAAATAAACAATTTTACGCCTGCCGCGAGAGGGGAAATCACTCGCACGGATTTTATTTTTTTCGTCTAGGTGTCTTCAATGGAGTGATAACCGCACGTATAAATCATGGTAGGGAATTCTTACTTCTTTTTCATATCTGCTGCTGGGGTCTGACCAAGCAAGGGTTGATTTCTTATGTTGATTTCTTATGTTGATTTCTTATGTTGACTCGCTGTGTTGATTTGCTGTGTTGATTCGTCATGATGATTCGTTAATTGGACAAGTGTTTTCTAGCACTAAGAACATAGACCGACAATTGTATATTTCACATTGTCAGTTTTTTTATTGCTATTTTTGTGGTAAGATTTTAATTGTATCTTCAGTTCCAAGAGAAAATGTGTTTTTCTAAAATCTTCCAGGTAGGATTAGGCATATAGAGGGTCAGGCACATAGAGGGTCAGGCACATAGAGGGTCAGGGAGAGGGTCAGGCACATAGAGGGTCAGGGACATAGAGGGTCAGGGACATAGAGGGTCAGGGACATAGAGGGTCAGGGAGAGGGTCAGGGACATAGAGGGTCAGGGAGAGGGTCAGGCACATAGGGGTCAGGGAGAGGGTCAGGCACATAGAGGGTCAGGCACATAGAGGGTCAGGGAGAGGGTCAGGCACATAGAGGGTCAGGGACATAGAGGGTCAGGGACATAGAGGGTCAGGGACATAGAGGGTCAGGCACATAGAGGGTCAGGGACATAGAGGGTCAGGGACATAGAGGGTCAGGGACATAGAGGGTCAGGGAGAGGGTCAGGGACATAGAGGGTCAGGGACATAGAGGGTCAGGGACATAGAGGGTCAGGGACATAGGGGTCAGTGACATACAGGGTCAGGCACATAGAGGGTCAGGCATATAGAGGGTCAGGGAGAGGGTCAGGCACATAAAGGGTCAGGGAGTGGGTCAGGCACATAGAGGGTCAGGGAGTGGGTCAGGCACATAGAGGGTCAGGCACATAGAGGGTCAGGCACATAGAGGGTCAGGGACATAGAGGGTCAGGGAGAGGGTCAGGGACATAGAGGGTCAGGGAGAGGGTCAGGGACATAGAGGGTCAGGGAGAGGGTCAGGGACATAGAGGGTCAGGGAGTGGGTCAGGCACATAGAGGGTCAGGCACATAGAGGGTCAGGCACATAGAGGGTCAGGGACATAGAGGGTCAGGGAGAGGGTCAGGGACATAGAGGGTCAGGGAGAGGGTCAGGGACATAGAGGGTCAGGGAGAGGGTCAGGGACATAGAGGGTCAGGGAGAGGGTCAGGGACATAGAGGATCAGGCACATAGAGGGTCAGGCACATAGAGGGTCAGGGACATAGAGGGTCAGGGAGAGGGTCAGGGAGAGGGTCAGGGACATAGAGGGTCAGGGACATAGAGGGTCAGGGACATAGAGGGTCAGGGAGAGGGTCAGGGACATAGAGGGTCAGGGACATAGAGGGTCAGGCACATAGAGGGTCAGGGACATAGAGGGTCAGGGAGAGGGTCAGGGAGAGGGTCAGGGACATAGAGGGTCAGGGACATAGAGGGTCAGGGACATTGAGGGTCAGGGAGAGGGTCAGGGACATAGAGGGTCAGGCACATAGAGGGTCAGGGAGAGGGTCAGGCACATAGAGGGTCAGGCACATAGAGGGTCAGGGAGAGGGTCAGGCACATAGAGGGTCAGGCACATAGAGGGTCAGGCACAAAGAGGGTCAGGCACATAGAGGGTCAGGGACATAGAGGGTCAGGCACATAGAGGGTCAGGGACATAGAGGGTCAGGGAGAGGGCCAGGGAGAGGGTCAGGCACATAGAGGGTCAGGGACATAGAGGGTCAGGGACATAGAGGGTCAGGGACATAGAGGGTCAGGGACATAGAGGGTCAGGGACATAGAGGGTCAGGGACATAGAGGGTCAGGGAGAGGGTCAGGGAGAGGGCCAGGGAGAGGGTCAGGCACATAGAGGGTCATGGACATAGAGGGTCAGGGACATAGAGGGTCAGGGACATAGAGGGTCAGGGAGAGGGTCAGGGACATAGAGGGTCAGGGACATAGAGGGTCAGGGACATTGAGGGTCAGGGAGAGGGTCAGGGACATAGAGGGTCAGGGACATAGAGGGTCAGGCACATAGAGGGTCAGGGAGAGGGTCATGGACATAGAGGGTCAGGGACATAGAGGGTCAGGGACATTGAGGGTCAGGGAGAGGGTCAGGGACATAGAGGGTCAGGGACATAGAGGGTCAGGGACATAGAGGGTCAGGGAGAGGGTCATGGACATAGAGGGTCAGGGACATAGAGGGTCAGGGACATTGAGGGTCAGGGAGAGGGTCAGGGACATAGAGGGTCAGGGACATAGAGGGTCAGGCACATAGAGGGTCAGGGACATAGAGGGTCAGGGAGAGGGTCAGGGAGAGGGTCAGGGACATAGGGGGTCAGGGAGAGGGTCAGGGACATAGAGGGTCAGGCACATAGAGGGTCAGGGAGAGGGTCAGGCACATAGAGGGTCAGGCACATAGAGGGTCAGGCACAAAGAGGGTCAGGCACATAGAGGGTCAGGGACATAGAGGGTCAGGCACATAGAGGGTCAGGGACATAGAGGGTCAGGGAGAGGGCCAGGGAGAGGGTCAGGCACATAGAGGGTCAGGGACATAGAGGGTCAGGGACATAGAGGGTCAGGGACATAGAGGGTCAGGGACATAGAGGGTCAGGGACATAGAGGGTCAGGGACATAGAGGGTCAGGGAGAGGGTCAGGGAGAGGGCCAGGGAGAGGGTCAGGCACATAGAGGGTCAGGGACATAGAGGGTCAGGGACATAGAGGGTCAGGGACATAGAGGGTCAGGGACATAGAGGGTCAGGCACATAGAGGGTCAGGGACATAGAGGGTCAGGCACATAGAGGGTCAGGGAGAGGGTCAGGGACATAGAGGGTCAGGGACATAGAGGGTCAGGGAGAGGGTCAGGGACATAGAGGGTCAGGGACATAGAGGGTCAGGGAGAGGGTCAGGGACATAGAGGGTCAGGCACATAGAGGGTCAGGGACATAGAGGGTCAGGGACATAGAGGGTCAGGGACATAGAGGGTCAGGCACATAGAGGGTCAGGGAGAGGGTCAGGGAGAGGGTCAGGGAGAGGGTCAGGCACATAGAGGGTCAGGGACATAGAGGGTCAGGCACATAGAGGGTCAGGCATATAGAGGGTCAGGGAGAGGGTCAGGCACATAGAGGGTCAGGGAGAGGGTCAGGGACATAGAGGGTCAGGGACATAGAGGGTCAGGGACATAGAGGGTCAGGGACATAGAGGGTCAGGCACATAGAGGGTCAGGGAGAGGGTCAGGGACATAGAGGGTCAGGGAGAGGGTCAGGGACATAGAGGGTCAGGGACATAGAGGGTCAGGGACATAGAGGGTCAGGGACATAGAGGGTCAGGCATATAGAGGGTCAGGGAGAGGGTCAGGCACATAGAGGGTCAGGGAGAGGGTCAGGGACATAGAGGGTCAGGGACATAGAGGGTCAGGGACATAGAGGGTCAGGGACATAGAGGGTCAGGCACATAGAGGGTCAGGGAGAGGGTCAGGGACATAGAGGGTCAGGGACATAGAGGGTCAGGCACATAGAGGGTCAGGCACATAGAGGGTCAGGGACATAGAGGGTCAGGGACATAGAGGGTCAGGCACATAGAGGGTCAGGGACATAGAGGGTCAGGGAGAGGGTCAGGCACATAGAGGGTCAGGGAGAGGGTCAGGGACATAGAGGGTCAGGGACATAGAGGGTCAGGCACATAGAGGGTCAGGCACATAGAGGGTCAGGGAGAGGGTCAGGCACATAGAGGGTCAGGGAGAGGGTCAGGGACATAGAGGGTCAGGGACATAGAGGGTCAGGGACATAGAGGGTCAGGCACATAGAGGGTCAGGGACATAGAGGGTCAGGCACATAGAGGGTCAGGGAGAGGGTCAGGGAGAGGGTCAGGGAGAGGGTCAGGGACATAGAGGGTCAGGGAGAGGGTCAGGGACATAGAGGGTCAGGGAGAGGGTCAGGGACATAGAGGGTCAGGGAGAGGGTCAGGGACATAGAGGGTCAGGGAGAGGGTCAGGGACATAGAGGGTCAGGGAGAGGGTCAGGGACATAGAGGGTCAGGCACATAGAGGGTCAGGGAGAGGGTCAGGGAGAGGGTCAGGGAGAGGGTCAGGCACATAGAGGGTCAGGGAGAGGGTCAGGGACATAGAGGGTCAGGGACATAGAGGGTCAGGGACATAGAGGGTCAGGCACATAGAGGGTCAGGGAGAGGGTCAGGCACATAGAGGGTCAGGCACATAGAGGGTCAGGGACATAGAGGGTCAGGCACATAGAGGGTCAGGGACATAGAGGGTCAGGGACATAGAGGGTCAGGGAGAGGGTCAGGGACATAGAGGGTCAGGGACATAGAGGGTCAGGGACATAGAGGGTCAGGGACATAGAGGGTCAGGCACATAGAGGGTCAGGGACATAGAGGGTCAGGCACATAGAGGGTCAGGGACATAGAGGGTCAGGGAGAGGGTCAGGGACATAGAGGGTCAGGCACATAGAGGGTCAGGGAGAGGGTCAGGCACATAGAGGGTCAGGGACATAGAGGGTCAGGGAGAGGGTCAGGCACATAGAGGGTCAGGGACATAGAGGGTCAGGCACATAGAGGGTCAGGGAGAGGGTCAGGGACATAGAGGGTCAGGCACATAGAGGGTCAGGGAGAGGGTCAGGCACATAGAGGGTCAGGGAGAGGGTCAGGGAGAGGGTCAGGCACATAGAGGGTCAGGCACATAGAGGGTCAGGGAGAGGGTCAGGGAGAGGGTCAGGCACATAGAGGGTCAGGGAGAGGGTCAGGGACATAGAGGGTCAGGCACATAGAGGGTCAGGCACATAGAGGGTCAGGCACATAGAGGGTCAGGCATATAGAGGGTCAGGCACATAGAGGGTCAGGGAGAGGGTCAGGGAGAGGGTCAGGCACATAGAGGGTCAGGGACATAGATTTTTTTAAACTAATCTAAAATCACGCGCATTTACCATTTCCTGGCTAATTGATTATTTAATTAACGACATATTTTTATAATTTGCTTAATTAACCGGGTTTGACTGACCATAGTTTTGCTACCGATGGTCACCAATGGAATGAAAGCCAAGCTGTCATTGGTGAGATGACAGTCTCGTCTACCAGTGCATCTTATTGTGAGGACTTTAATCATCGACTTTCTTACCGGCAAGGGTTCGTGCCGGTTTTGTTGACCGGTCATGTTTGTGCCGGTTTTGTTGACTTATCTGCATAGGAGTCCGCCCCTCTCCCTCTCCCTCTCTTCCCACCCCCCACCTCAACCACCACACACAAGATCAAACTGTCTCAAACTGTCATGGACTTATATTGTCTTGGATCTTTCAAACTGAATGTTAGAGTCTACTGTTTTGGGATCTTTAACACAAAATGGGATCTACCACCAGATATTGGGATCTACCTCTAAACCTCGGGGTCTAGCAATAAATCTCGGGGTCTACCATTGTGTCTAGGGGTAGTGAGGGGCTGAAGCTGTAGGTCATCAGCTGACCTTAGTACCAGCAGTGGGGATGTACCAGGGAGGAATCAAACAGGGCGCCGCGACTTGCGTTATGGGGGGGGGGGGGGAGAAGTTCTCGCTTCTACATCCTGTTGAGTAAGAGAGGAACAGTGAAAGTCTAAGAAAGATGCGCAGAGAGGAGAGAGAGAGGGAGAAAGGTTCTAACCATGGGCTATTTTGTTGAAAACTGTTGCAAATCCGGTTCGTAAAAGATGAAAATTCGTAGAAATGAATCATGCGACTAAAAATAATGTATTAAGTTAAACATGTTGCTTGTACCATTTAACATCTGTACGTTGTTTGTTTCAATGTCTGTTTACAACACGGCGCTGAAGGGTGGTGTGGGGGGGGGGGGGGTGCTGAGTTCATTTACAATATCTGCATCAGAATTAACACTTGACCTTATGGAACGTGAAGCAACAAGGTAGGCCACTCTGACCTCTGAACCTCGTGAACCCCAAGAAACCACGTGAACCCCGTAACCACGTAAAAATTTCTCCAGGTTAACTGTGAACCACATGTTAGGGTTAAATATAGAAAGATTTTATTTACTTAACCTGTAGATAAAACACGATGCCTTCGAGAATTTTTAAAAAAATTGGAATTTCCCATGGCGAGGTGTGAAGGTGGGGGTAGGGCGGGGGAGAAGGTCTGGAATGGAAGCTTCTAGTGGTTTTTTTGCCACTTTAATAGTGCCATCACGTGACCTGCTTTGTTGGGGTTCTCCCGTGCGTGAGGCCAGACATTTTTTCCTCACTCACTCAACCGTGTCAAGGGATGGTGGTGAGTACACGCAGCACGTGAAATAGTTGAGCATTGTTTTAACGGGGTGGGGGGATGAGTGACATTCGTATGGGTGAGGGTTGGAATGAGTGGAGAGGACTTGCACGATTCATTATTTTTTCTTCAAACCAGACAAGGATGTCGACCGAGAACTAATTTATAAACATCGTATTGACATTAGAAGCAATAATTTGTGGTATATTTTGAAAGGAAATTTAGGTAGGATTCAATTATTACAGTACAATTTTTATTTAAATCACTTTAGGGACTCCAGCCTATATTTAAGGATTTTAAGGATTCTATTATAAGGGTGATCTGTAATTCTTGAAGCAATTTTTGGGAGTTTATTTGTTAAGTTAAATTTTTTGTATATTCTATTTTGAAGACTGCCTGGGGATATTGTGAATCAACGATAAAAGGTGTTCGAAATTGTATGTCCATTTCGAAAGAATATTTATGATTCTATTTTGGTAAGACATTTGGAATTCTAATGTAGAAGAGATATTAAAGTGTCTAGCATTCTTTTATAGGTTGATGAAAGAAGGGGGGGGGGGGGGGGTAAGATAAACTTTCAGTCAAGCCGCTTTCGTGTGAGCTAAAGATAGAACGATTGGAGTGTTGTGTCACGTTTAAACAGATCTTTTGCACACACACACACACACACACATACACACACATTACAATTTACATGTTTAGCTAGTCCATTCTTAAATTGCCCCATATTTCTGTTGCCCCATGTTTCTGTTGCCCCATATTTCTGTTGCCCCATGTTTCTGTTGCCCCATATTTCTGTTGCCCCATGTTTCTGTTGCCCCATATTTCTGTTGCCCCATGTTTCTGTTGCCCATATTTCTGTTGCCCCATGTTTCTGTTGCCCATATTTCTGTTGCCCCATGTTTCTGTTGCCCATATTTCTGTTGCCCCATGTTTCTGTTGCCCCATGTTTCTGTTGCCCCATATTTCTGTTGCCCCATATTTCTGTTGCCCCATGTTTCTGTTGCCCCATGTATCTGTTGCCCCATGTTTCTGTTGCCCCATGTTTCTGTTGCCCATATTTCTGTTGCCCCATGTTTCTGTTGCCCCATGTTTCTGTTGCCCCATATTTCTGTTGCCCCATATTTCTGTTGCCCCATATTTCTGTTGCCCCATGTATCTGTTGCCCCATGTATCTGTTGCCCCATGTATCTGTTGCCCCATGTTTCTGTTGCCCATTTTTCTGTTGCGTCAATTTTCTGTTGTCCCATGTTTCTGTTGCCCCATGTTTCTGTTGCCCATATTTCTGTTGCCCCATGTTTCTGTTGCCCATTTTTCTGTTGCCCCATGTTTCTGTTGCCCATATTTCTGTTGCCCCATGTTTCTGTTGCCCATATTTCTGTTGCCCCATGTTTCTGTTGCCCATATTTCTGTTGTCCCATGTTTCTGTTGCCCCATGTTTCTGTTGTCCATGTTTCTGTTGCTTCATGTTTCTGTTGCCCCATGTTTCTGTTGCCCCATGTTTCTGTTGCCCCATGTTTCTGTTGTCCATGTTTCTGTTGCCCATGTTTCTGTTGCTCCATGTTTCTGTTGCCCCATGTTTCTGTTGCCCGATGTTTCTGTTGCCCCATGTTTCTGTTGCCCGATGTTTCTGTTGCCCCAAGTTTCTGTTGCCCGATGTTTCTGTTGCCCATTTTCTGTTGCCCCATGTTTCTGTTGCCCCATGTTGCCCAACGCGTCAATTTTCCCCAGTCTAAAAGTGTACCAGTTATCGAAGACGTGCCTAAAACCGTTAGAGACAAATTTCCTTCGCTACCGTGACACGTGACATGGTGGGAGTCGACAAGATTTCTTACGGCCATCACGTGGTCAAGCTGGACATGAAAGTCTTACAACTGGAAGTGCAGTTACGTTGAAAGTTTGAGGAAATATGCTCTCTCACACACACAGACACATACACACATATATACACTCACATCTTTACATTTCTTGTAGTTCATGAATGGCTAGTGACCCCGATGTATGAACTTATGTGTGAACATAAAACACCTAGTTTGATCATTGACTCATGATCTCACCAGCAAAATTTGGTGTTGCTTTACAGCTGACATGAAATTATTTTTAACACTCTAGCAATTTGTTGGCATAAAATTATTTAATTATCTTTTGATTAAATTATTTTTTTCCAGTAAAGTTGTAAGTTTGTTGTAGTTTTCATGACCTGCAAGTTATAAAAGACAACTTGTATAATTCGGTACGAGATCATTAATTAGTCCATGTTGATGGGGCGACTGGTTTTAACTGTGAGCACGTTTTAAAACACCCAAGACGAATTAGTGCTGTTAATTCACTCGGATTTAAAAAGTAATTCTTGAACGGATTTTATTTCAAAAATTGGAAAAACTTTCATAGAAAACATAAAGTTAGAAACTTTCTTGGAAAACTTCAGTTTACAAGCATTTATTGGCTCGCATTCAATGAGTTTATCCAGAACATTTCTCAACTTCCGGTTTTGGCAGAAGTGACCTCTCACAAATGCCAGAGCTTTGTCGCCTGCCGTCTGCTGGACCGGCCCTGACGTGTCTGCTGCTGGCCGTCTGTCTGGCGTCCAGCAGACAGGACCAGTGCGGCCAGCTTGCCGGATGCCGGGCCGACCGGCCGAGGCTGGCAAACGGATGCTGTCCGGCGGAAGCCGGAGCCGAATGTCGACCGGAAGTAGGGAGTGAGTGCGACACGGAGCTGGGATTTAACTGCGTTGACGTCACGGGAGCTAACGTGACGTCAGGGAGTGGCACGTGCCGAGGTGAGTGGCCAGATATTTTACCGTAATTAGCGGAGATGTACGTCATATAATATATATATATATATATATATATATATATATATATATATATATATATATATATATATATATATCTTATTAATTTATTTATAAATCGCTGAATGTATATGTCAACAATAAGAATATAATCAATGAGTATAAAAACAGTAAGACATACATACGAAGGTGTGTGGTAAATGAATCGACACTCAGTCACAACCAAATGAACGCTCTATGTGCACCGTATCAAAATATATCCACACAGTTGTCTCCCTCTTTAAACCTCACCTATATGATCTACAACCAACCCTAGCTCAATCATACAGTCCGATCTTTTGGAACAATCGCTGAGATAATACGTCTGTGAGAAGTTGTTTTTTTTAATATGCTAGTTATTCTGTTAGTCGTATATTTCTACAGCATGGGATAAAAGAATGTCATTCAGACACAAAGTACAAGTACACACATATACACACAGATACACACAGATACACACAGGTACACACAAGTACACACAGGTACACACAAGTACACACAGATACACACAGGTACACACAGATACACACAGATACACACAGGTACACACAGATACACACAGGCACACACAGATACACACAAGTACACAAGTACACAAGTACACACAGATAAACACAGGTACACACAGATACACACAAGTACACAAGTACACAAGTACACACAGATAAACACAGGTACACACAGGTACACACAGGTACACACAGATACACACAGATACACACATATACACACAAGTACACACAGATACACACATATACACACAAGTACACACAGGTACACACAGATACACACAGATACACACAGGTACACACATATACACACAGGTACACACAGATACACACATATACACACAAGTACACACAGGTACACACAGGTACACACAGATACACACAGATACACACAGGTACACACATATACACACAGGTACACACAGATACACACATATACACACAAGTACACACAGGTACACACAGGTACACACAGATACACACAGATACACACAGATACACACAGGGGGCTGGTGTGTAGGGTGAACAAACTGCGCGTGACTTGGCATATGGGCCTAGAACTTTTGTTGATACCATCACATTACGATATGTGGCATATGGGCCTAGAACTATTGCTTTAGGGCTTGGGGTTGGGTTCGGGGGTTTCAGGGTTCTCGTACATGCACTCATATTGATGTAAAAGGTATGTGTTCGCTGATCACCTAAAAGATGAAGTGCTTAGTTAAATGTGATTTGAACAGCTGAGTACAAACGTAAGTCTAACTATTACAAAAAAATGTTTAAAAACTTCAAATAAATACCCTCCACACCGTAATACAAAATTACAGCATTGATTGTTTTATAATTGAAATGTATCCGTTATTTGATTAGTGACCAAGTAAAACGACGGGACAGTGTATAATGTTAAAGCAGTGGCGTCGCTAGGTCGGGTGTCACCCGGTGCGGCACATTATGGTGGCACCCGGCACTAAAGGAAAATAAGGTGTAGGATATATATATATATATATATATATATATATATATATATATATATATATATATATATATATATATATATATATATATATATATATATATATGCCTACCTAGGCCTATACATATAGTTGTAGTTGGTGTCACACCCTCCCATTTTGCCAAATGGCGTAAATATGTACACACATTATTTTAATCCACTTCTTAACTAAGTGGAAAAAGCATCTTTTACATAGTAAATAATTAGGTATCGTGTCACTCAACCACGGCCATCGATTGAAAATATTCGACCAAACTTTGTTTTTTTCTGTAAATGTTGTAGTTGGTTTAAATAGCCTTATTTTCTAAATAGTTATCAGGTTTGTGTCATGGTGTCACCCCCCCCCCCACTCCCCACCTTGTCGGGATCATCTATTTGTAGTTAAAAACATTTTTAACTCTAATTAATCACTCATTAAACCGGCAACAAGCATATTTCTTCTATATATTTTGAAATTTCTGTCTTGGTGTCACCGCTATAAATGGTGTCAACCGGTGCGGTGCGCACCCCCGCCCCCGCCTTGTGACATCTCTGAGGCGTAGTAATACACTGTGTCACTTCTTAACACTGTTAATATTGGTCGGGTCATAGGTCGGGTCACTTCTTCAAACTGTTAATATTGGCAGCGAATTGACTCAGTTCGTTTGTTATAAATACATTTCGTATTTGTACATCTTGTTTCCTTGCCGTGTAGGCCTATATAATGATATCGCCACACACCTATCAGAGTGATGCTGCTTCCAGTTATTTTGTAATGGATGGGGGGGGGGGGGCGTTTGTTACTGGTCAATGGTCTGTGTAAACAATCGTTGTTTCAATAATATACCCATCGATGTTAAAATAGGTGGATCAGTTTATGAAGCCATGGATGTAGGCAAATCTATTTTCTTGAACTCTGAAATGCAGCACACACATTTTTTTTGTACTCACCCGCTCCCCCTCCCCCACCCCCGGCTACAGATATTGTATCAATCTAAACGGCGTAGTAGCAGGCACTAGCAGATGAAAAACTCCAACAATTTTATCAGACATGCCGCTGGCTATCAGATTAGGGGAATTCAAACATAAAACAAGTGTCAGATTAGGGGGATTCAAACATAAAATTATTTGGGGGATTTTTGTGTCGAGGTGGCAGCCAGTGCAGGGGGAGTCTTCCCGTTATGCTCGTGGGAGTCCACTCTCCCACCCCGACCCCACACCTCACCCCCACAGCCCACCCCCACACATCACATTGGTCGACTGTATCAAACGATACACCGTGTAAACGTGTATATCTGCCATTGACGGCCTGCCTGTTAGCATTATGAGTCAGCAGTGAGTTCACCGTTATTTATTTCACACATCGCTAGGGATGGGGTTAGGTCAGATTAGTGCACACTTTACAGTAAGATTACGTGTGTATCTGGATTACATGTTAACTCTCCAGGAGTTTTATTTATCTGTTTGAAAGAATTTTAAAAAAGTATATAGGCCTATATGTATATTATTAGCATTAAATGTGACATCATGGGTACGTAAGGTTAACTTGTTCTAGTAGAAAGTCAAAGTAATAGAGCGTCGATATAGGGGTCTTGACTTTATGCCCAACCCAAGGTATGAAACTTCTAGAATAGTTGATTACATTTCCCTTCAAATAACGTCTTTAAAGGTTTCTCGGTAAGTGACAACTGCTGATTCTTCAATAGTAGGCGGAGTTTTCCTCGTTTAAATTAACATTGACTCGCCAAAATTATTTTAATTGGTCAATAATAAAATCATTTTTGTCTAATTTACTTTAAGTTTAAAATATTCATTTTATATGGCAAATAATAATATAGTATAGCTTAATTAATTTTAACTCTTCATAATTATTTTAAATGGTTAATAATACTGTCTGGTCTAATTAACTTTGACCAGTAGTGTTTGTTATTATTTGCCAGAAATAAAATAAGTATCCACGACTGAAATTTAATTTTACTGACAAAGTTCAATTTCACTGACCATATTCAGTTTGACTAGTCTAAATTAGATTCCATCACAAAAATAAAATGTAACTATCAAAAACTAATTCAGATTTTAAAAAACAACATCAGCCATTTAGCCTACCCCACTACATGAATATAAAAAATAGTTCCCGTCCCCTGGTGTAGAGTGGCGCGCCATCAGCGGCGTGAAATCGATTGTTCTAGACAACGATACAGGTGTGCTACCAGAGACATGCTAATTAGGTCCATACCCACAGGTGGCTAATTCGGGAACTTCATTAATGTAATTGATTATACATGAAGTAACAATGAATAAAACAAGTAGTGTGAAATATTTTAATTGCATATCGAATCATGAGGAAACAAATAAAAATGTTTTGGTAAACAGTTTTTTATGTTGTGTTTGTTGATGGACACACAATGTCTACATCAGGGGCAGAGTTTCTTCCGAACGAAATGGAATATCAAGTGCCCCTCCCTTTCCCCCCCCCCCCCCGGATAAAAAAAAGTCTGGAAGAAACACTGATCAGGGGTAGTCATCATACTGGAAGGTTCGTGTTCGTAAAGAAACATAATTTTAAGAAATATTTTCAGATTTTATTAAGAAAAAACTCGTCCTGGGAATGGCTTCTTTATTCCGATGAAGTTAAAATAAAATGGTGTATAACATTTTTTTCCTAATCCCCCCCCCCCCTCTCTCTCCGAGGGTCACCAAAACAAAGAAATCCCACGTATTCTAACCTCCCCTCCCCCACCCTCTTAGCAAATCGGGAGCCATCAGAGGGGGGCGGGGGGCGGGGGTTGGAGAAATCGGGGGGGGGGGGGGGAGAGAAACCTGCCTTACCTGTGTGTGTTGACAGGGACCACATTTCACAACAACAAGGGGAATCTACCCACAATCCTCGACACTGTCCCCTCGTCACGTCCGCTGAGTTATTTCCCCTTCTCGCGGGACTGTAGTGTGCTGATATAGCCAGCACTTCCTTTAGACTGAGGTCTTGTGTGGTCCTTTAGTTGTATAAGCTAATTATTGCAATATACCTAATTACTGCAGTCTACCCAATTACAACAGTCTACCTAATTACTGCAGTCTACCTAATTACTGTAGTCTACCTAATTACCGCAGTCTAATCGTTGTTATCATTTGCTGCTATTTAACTTATAAAAGACTGTTCATCAGTTTTCGTCAATTGTTACCCCCCCCCCCCCGTCAACCACCACAACAACTATTCTAACACTACAACACCAACCTGAGCCTTAAAATGCCCTTTACCTCCCTTACCATTAACACATTTATTTTAACATAATTTAAAAATTTAATTTGATCTCAATTAATTAGAAGTCAAGGTAAAGTAAAACATGTGAAATCATTAAGTTGAACACAGTGTTGAAACAAGCATAAGGGGCCTAACAAAGCATGTTTAGAATGTGTGAGTTGGGTGCTACATATTTCAGGCTTGA